ATATATCTACACATTTAATTATAAATGTCAAAACAAATAAATAATTACTTTAGAATATAATGAAATTGTTTAACACTATTCGTGTTTACAAAATGTTTTTGTCTACAATCAGAATTTGATATATCTTCATCATAAATGCTAAAGTATTACAGCATAATGAAAGTTTTTAAAATAAGAGTTGGTATAAAACCACGCCTTTCAATATAATAGACAAACATTCGGAATAACATCCTACTAAATAACGTCCTTTTAGTTCAGATCATATATTTTTAATTAACTACTGCTTGTTTGTGTTCTTTAAAGATAATTTTTTAACATAGTGATAGGTATGGGTTAGATCACTGTATTGGTCACACACCTTTTTACTGGTAATTGTAAAAACAATATTCACAGAGTTTTACGTTTAAAAAGCTAATTTTCTGGCGGCATGGTACTTTGGTACATCATTAAACGTTTTTCTACATGTACTTAACAGATCAGTTCGGGGTGGGTTGGGGGGGGGGGGGGGGTTCAACTTCATTCACCACTGTCCGTTACTTTAGGTCAATTATCCAACCCAGTGTATACCTAGGTGTGACATTAATGTCGCTCTACACAATTGTGGTGGTGAGGTGTGGGGGGGGGGGGAGATAACCAACTCAGAGTGAACAAAGCGTCAGTTTTTAGATGACTGTTCTAAACATACATATATATTACACAAATATATATTACACAAATATATATTAGAGAAATAGCTTTAAATAAGTAGCAGTGCTATTATGACAATATTTTTTTACAGAGGGGTCCATGGGGGAGGGGGTTGTAACTGTTTCATATAATTTGTAATCGTAATCACTATCGCCCAAACTGTAAGAATACTACTACTTCATAGTGATGACGTTGTTGACCTTGTCAAAATTTCCCCATCACTACGCAGTTTGATCATAAGTAAATTTAAATAGAGGTGCCACATCAGTTGTATTTGTTTCTGTATTGTAATTTTTTTAAATTAATCACACGATTCAAACTGTATAAATAAGGTAATTATGTGTGAAGTTTTATGTATAACATTTTCTAATTCCATTATTCGTCAGCAAATACATTATACAGTTACCTTAAACTTAACACCACTCTTGCCAAGTGGTACTACCCGAGGAGGTTTTTTAAACATTGCAATACATCGTAATGGTTATTTTTAGAATGGCAAACTGATGCAGCTGTTGATACGTGTTGTAAACGTAGACACTACTAGACTAGTACAATAATGCTTAATTGCTGCATGAAAAGAAATCTTGTGATTTACATAGATGTGCCGACCAAAAATATTTTTTTAACAAATATCATTGTTTAAAACTTTGAGTTTAAGAAGTTTCCAAAAAGGCGCCAATTTGCTGAAAATGGCCAGAGGGGGAGCGGCCGCTCCCCCTGCTCCCCCCCTGCGTACGCTACTGCGAAGGAGGCTAGTAAAATTTGATTTTAATGTCTACTTATAATGTTTATGCAAAAATAAATGAATATGTCACTTTTAATTAGTTATTTTCTTATATTTTAGTAATTAATTTGTGTGAAAGGGGGCGTTTTAATAAGTTTTGCCTAGGGCGCTAAATAACCTGGCGCCGGAACTGGGGACATTGATTTTAGGGGGAGGATCTCTGAGGGTAGTTATACATTATTACATTATGTTTCAGTAGGCCTAAAACAAGTCATGTATAAATTGTAATACATGTTTAAAGTTCGCAACTTTATGGACACAATCTTTAAATTGATTTTTAATGACTACTTTAATATCTAGTTAGCTTGAAAATGAGATACTCGTGCATTGTCATCGAAAATGAACTTATCTGGAAAGTATGATCTATAGGAAATCAGAGTGACAGCAACCTATTTCGGCGCTTTTAATTTTTTGCTCCCACCCCCATGTATGGTTATTCACGTTGGCGGAAAAGAATCGCTTCTAATTTTGGAAAAGTTGGGGGCGCTTACTACCAGTTACAGTCCACAAACACATTTTTTTGATTGTCTCACAATTGATTGAGAAAACAGTTAAAACAAGTCAAATAAAACTCAACCATGACAATTTTAAGTTAGTAATCAGCAGAAAATTATAATTTTTAATTTATTTTTCTATCACGTTTGGCGCCTCCTCATGGTCGACGCCGAGGGCGATCGCCCCACGCCTTCCCTTAGCTACGCCTCTGGATGAATTCGGCTCACTACTGTTTCACTGGTGTTTTTTGAGAGCCGACCACAAACACTGTGTGGCAGATAACTAATCATGGGCGGGGTTTTAAAGAAATATTTCTAGTCATGCGCGGTTTCGACTTATTTAAGAACAAAACTGTTGGAAAAAATAAATATGGTAGCGCGCTAATGGTTTTTAATATTTAAATATCGACCTACTGGTGCATCTTTACATTATATAAGTAATTACAGATAGAACATAAAATAAGTATTACAAATTTATAACATACCTTTAACTACAATGACATATCACAATAGGCACAGACCGGCTGTATTTAGCAAAATGCTAAATGAAAAAGCGTTGGTCGCTAATTTATTGAAAAAAAAAAAGATTTCTAGAGTGACCAACGCTTTCATTTATGTTTTACTATAAATTTAAAGAAAATTTTCTGATTGTATTTATTATTGTGGTTAAAACCTCTAATTGGATTAATACCATTTTTAAAATATATTTTTACATGCAATGGAAGTACTTAACAAGTCAGATTTCGTGAATTACATAACATGTTTATTATCAATGCAGGTTATATATTATAAACGACAAATTAAAAAAATCATATCCATGAGTACAATGACAACGATGATGCATTAAATAAGAACAGCAAAGCAAGAACAAAAAACACTGACACGAAATCATAACTGACCAGCTTTTGAATGGTAAAATTTAAACAATATATTTTTATAATGGCCAAAAATAAGGATAAAGTACAGCGGCGTAACTAGGGTGGTGTGATGTGGGGAGGTGGTGTCTGCCCCAGGCGGCATCCATTTTTAAAGATCAATATAAATAGAAGTAGTGGGGTGGTGCCTAAGAGAAACTGAGAACCAGTGTTTTGATTTATGGGTGGTAAAAGTCTACAAATGTAGCCTACAACGGAGCCTTGAAGAAAAACTGACGGAGAAAGCTGGCATATAGGATATAGAATGAATAATATAAATTCGGAAAGTCATTGACCCCTTGTTAATCAGGTCAAAGCCGTGGCTCATATCTGGTAAAGCATAACCCCCCCCCCCCCCCATGATAAAAAAAAAAATTGCTGGCTTAAATTATTATTGTCAGCCTAACACAATTTTCAAAATAATGTCGGCAAAAAAAACAAAAACCAAAAAAAAACCCACAACACTAACAACCGAAAACAAACGGAAAACTTCAACTCACAGATTGAAGAAAGTTATGGGATTACATACACATCAACACAGTGGCAATGCTGGCCCCATTCCAGTTATAAACAAGCGATAATGAAGCAAATATACTGACTCATATTAGCACATGTCATACTGCCAAATGACAAGCAATGTCATTCAAATGACAATATCATTCAACTGAATGACAAGGCATGCTAATCAACCAAAATGACAAGCAATGCTATTTAACCAAATGAATGCTATTCAATAAAATGACAACTAATGTCATTCAATGCAAATGACAAGCAATGTCATTCAACCAAAATGACAAGCAATGTCATTCAACCAAAATGACAAGCAATGTCATTCAACCAAAATGGCAAGCAATGTCATTCAACCAAATGACAAGCAATGTCATTCAACCAAAATGGCAAGCAATGTCATTCAACCAAATGACAAGCAATGTCATTCAACCAAATGACAAGCAATGTCATTCAGTAAAGCGACAAGCAATGTCATAAGCTAAACGACAAATGTCAAGTGTCATCATATGAAATGGTTACATTAGATATACCCATACTAGTAGTAAACACAACATACATTACTCTAGTCTGGGTGGGTATCATTGTATTACCTTTAAAATTAAGTTAATTAAATAGAAATCTCTAAAGAGTATTTGTATGTCTTCATCTCACAAGCTTTAAAAAGTTTGTAAAATATGACCAACAATGCTGAAATTACCATTGTGAGTTATTACACATCCAGTGAAAGTAAAAATCTTCAACTTAGGCTTCTAACCACATAATTTTAACAACTTCTGATAATGACCACTAACTCGTGGTTTAACCTAATCAAAGTACATTGCCTCACTAGAAGTTGTCTTTTTGTTTTTAAGAGATATTTCAATTTTATTTTACGACAGAAACAATCTGTAAATGAAAAGCTTGTGACACTATACACAAAGAAAACACTAGGAAATGTATTGCTCTAACCAAGTGGTAGGCCTAGATTACATTTTTTTTAACTTATACAAATTATTTCTTTGAATTAAAATTAATTTATGGAATTTTTTCTTGGCATTAAATTTTCATTTTCACAAATTATTTCTTTGAATAAAATTAATTAACCTTAATGGAAATTATTTCTTGGAATTAAATTTTTTAACTTTCACATTATTTATTTGAATAACATCATTTACCTTGAATTAATTCTGGGAATATAATTATAAAGCTTAATTTCTTAGAATAAATTAACTTTAATATATTTTTGAAAATAAAATTATTTTAGCTTGATATTCAAATTCTTTCTTTAATTAATTAAATGGCAGCAAAAGTTTAATTATTCCGCAGACTATTGGCATATAATATCAAGTTTCAGTAGGAATTGAAACTATGTAACTGACAATACACAGAACTTAATTGTTTGAGTGATTAATCAACGACTCACATATCAAATTTTGGCACCAGTAAGACTTTAAATGTTGTTAGAGCTAAAAAAAAAAAGTCTTTTCTTATGTTCTTTAAAAAAATTCTAATTTGAGTATTTCATATCAAGCTTCTTTAAATTAACTTACTAAAAAAATGTACCCTTGTTGTAGACTAGATGGACTATACATAAAAGATATTTCTGTGAAGGCTTTGTAGGGCCAGATGCTGTTACTGTCCTAAGTCAAGTACTTGTCAGAGTTTGGTGGATTAGGGGATGTTTCACAGCTAGTCCTATTAATTAATTTTAACCTTTGTAAAAAAACTTATGACATTTTTAAGGTGTTTTTTGTATTGAACACATAGGTACTAATTTTTTTTAATCTTAGCACTAGAACTAGATAGTGTTTGGGTTGTCCTTTGACACACACACACACAAAAATAAAAAAAATAAAAAATTGAATTGAGAATTGTTTACTTGTTACATACAATAAAAAAACAAAACAAAAAAAAACATTTGGCAAGTGGACCTGGTAAAGCTTCCATTAAACAAGAGATTCAGGACATGTAACTTGCTAACACTCCCAGGGGCTAACAAAAGTGTCTTTAAAAACAAGCTTCACAACATACACAAATAACCACCTCTTTAAGAACATTTCTTGATGTTAGCCTGGGTCCAAGAATTATTTTTCAATATCTGGGCAGGACCTAGTTAAGACCAGAGATGATGTATTGAGTTACCCAACATGGGTCAAGAACAAAATGTTAAAAAAAAATATATACACTATGTACAGTCTGGCTTTACACACTAGTAAAAATGTCTGACCTGGCAAGTGAGTTTGGTCTAGCTTGCCAGTTTGGCCTGGCAAGCCAGTTAAAAAATATCCTGATACAAAGACAACAAGTAATCTGCATAATTTGTAAGTTAACAGGGACATGTGGCCTGAGATTGGCGGATTAAAAAAAAACAGGTTTGACATATATACAGAACCATTTCATTCATGAATCAAATGTTTACCAAGATAAGTTAAAATTATGCAAATTAAAACCTTAGGCACAATGTAAAATATGCATTTACTTCACTTTTTTTCCATACTAACTTCGAAAAATTTCTTGAGGCTTTTCAAAAATGTCAAAAACCCATATATATTTTTTGGGTTGCAATATAATCACCAAAAAGTCAACTATTACTGACAAATGTTTTATACTGTATCATTTTAATTTTGAGCAATTGATTGCATGAAAACTAACTTTATAAAAAAACTACAAGGAATTCACTATTACCGCTTTTTCTTGTAAATGCATTTTTATAATCGCAATATATATGAAGATGCTGTTTATACTTCTTAAAAAAAAAAGTAGCTAATTTAATATCTATTTAAATGAATAGTTAAAGAAATATAATTATTGCTAATAGTCTATACAAAATGTCCTGAATTATAGAATTTAACTAGTGTAACATGTTAACTTTCTGCAACAAACTCTCAGCAGATAAGGGTTAATTATCAGATCCCAAAAAAGGGGAAATCTAATGGGCATGAATAGAGAAATAAATAAAGGTCTATATAAGGGCAGTGTTAATATATAAGTTTTAATATTGTGCCAAAATATCTCAAGTAGGTTCCAATAAATCAAATGTGTTTGTAAAAATTTAACATTTTCAACCAATAATCTTACCATCATGGGCAGGGTAATTAAAAAAATATAATTCTTAAAAATGTTTCCAACAATGAAACAAAACAAGTTTTTAAAAACAATGCAACCAACAAGAAAAAAAAAATGTACATTAGCTTTACAGGAACACATGAATAAATATTTAAAAAAAAAGTTTTCACATTATGAGTTGCACAAATTGTTCACAACTAGAATCTTGATAGTCACAACACAGTTCACACTTCCAGTAAACAGCAAGTCAGTAATCCAGTTGAGGCAGTGAATAACGCAATGAATTATGATTGTAACTAATTTAAACAGAATGACTATTTACACATCCACCTGACGATTTCTCCAGGTATACCTCTATCACTTAAGTGTGTTCCAGAAAAATCCAGGCATCATCGCTATCGAAATGAAAACAGCGGAGGTAAGATTTGCTATGACGGTGTGTTGTCAGATTTAAGAGAATTAATCTTGGAACAGATCTTTAACGCTGGCCCCAGTTTAATATTCATGGCAGTCATGAGATGGTCTTCTTTTAGCAAGAGTAAGGCCTGGCCGTCAATCTCCTGGGACCTGAACTCTTCAGCGTATTCACGACACCCTGGCATGGACTGGATGAAGTCATAGACTTCAGTCACCTGAGGAACACAATTCAAAACTTGATGAAAACAAATGCTAACTTTTTTTTTATAAATTAAAACATCAGACAAATAGAAAACTATCAGCACATAATGGCTTTGGGGGGGGGGGGGGGGGGGTGGGGCACACCCCTTTAGAATATGTAGTAAAGGTCTACGACATCAGAAGTGAAGCCAACAGGGATGTTTTGGGGGATTGCGAAATTAATAGCCAGGTATCGGACAAAATGGAAGGAAATGGTGGAGGCTCTATGTTCCATAAAAGGTAAAGAGGCCTAAGTCAAGTCAAGTAAGTCTATCAAAGCCTATCTTTAAATGACAGTGGTAAAGTTCTGCTCCCGCATACATTTTTCAAAGGCAGAAAAAATTATGTAACCACGTTTAAAGTATTAAAATTGAAAATACCTCAGTCCAATCTTTTAAAAAAAACATCTGTACTTCCCTTTCTAAAAACTTAGTCTACCAGAATACAGAGGAATACAAGTTCATACCGTCCATTTCCCTGGGTCAGTTCTTGGAATGTTAGCGTCGACGTCCATCTCAAAATCTTGAGACCTGGAGGGTGAGGCAGCAGAGGAGCTGGTGTCCTGGGCACTGTTAGAGCTGCTCATCTCATCCCCCACAGGCTGGGGAACACACAGACAACAGTGTCATAGCAAAAAAATATATATGTATAAACAGAATACTGCTCAATGCAATGTTGTGTTAGATACAGTAATACCTCACTAATTTAATCACTTGTTTCTTTCATTTAGTTATTTCACATGTTTGTGATACAGTTTGTATATACTCTAGTTAATTATTTAAAATTTTTTTTTATGTAGTTTGTAACTGAGTGAGGGAATGTCTGAAGTATTTATTTAGCTTTAAACGATATAAAATGCTACAACAATTTATTTTTGTTGCCTTCTACAGTAAAGTAACTGATAATATTAGGGATATTACTGTACAGTGAACCAGTAGTTGCTACAAAGACATCTCACATAAAGACACTACCACAATGTTAGAGGTATTACTGTACATTCAAATAAGAAAATGTGAATCAGCAGTTGCTATGAACACATCTCACTTAAAACAACCATAACTTACAGCTGTGTTGCTATCTTCATTGTTGTCATGGTTACTGCTACTGTTGTTGGATGCCAGGGCGTAAGAAAGCCTGCCACCCTTGCTGACACGCCAGTTCTTACGTGCCAGAATATGTTTTCTTTTACGGGAGGTACCTACACAGTTTACGGAAGGAATTATAAAAAAATTCTAGGTCATTTCAATGAGAAAAAGATAATCAAACATGAATCAGTATATTTATCTAATCTGAGAATAATCTTTGGACAATATCAGCAGCAGGCCAATACATAAACGTACACAATGCTAAGGTAATTTATTAGCTATTTAGTCTGATATGTTCACGACCCACTATGAACAAAACATTTCAACTGTCTCATAAAAATGTATCCCCCCCCTCTCTCATTGCAACTTATAGCTAAGCTGTCAGCAAAACAAAGTAAAGAATTGAGGTTTAATTGGTTTCCAATGTTTTAATGTAACTTTATATATGATGATTCAGTAGACACACTTGGAATATAAAGTGACTTTGTTTTTAATTGTTAACATTGAAGGTGATTTCCTCCAACCCAATTAAGAATTCCATGTCAACAAGTTATGTCATATAGCCCATTGACTCTCAACTTCAGCTTTCTTTTCTAAATACAATATGGTTTTGCTTTTCTAATCTTTGTTCACCCAAGAACAGCCTATAAGGTAGTTTTTGTTTGATTTTGAAGTTCTCTCTCCTGGGATCTGAACTTAGGACTTTTGGAGTTACCAATGATATGCTCTACCTACTAACCAGATTGGCCAACACAAAAAAGTGACTGATAAAATTAAAATAATACAAAGTCATCTATACCAGGAATAAAGTTGACTGACCTCTAGATTTTAACAGACCCACACGTCTGGAATGACTGACACTATGTCGCTTGGAGCAGGTGAGGGAACAGAACCTGCGAGAGTTGTTGAATGTGGAGGCTGGCGCCACTTTCTGGCACAGCTCACACTTGAGGACCTTGATGGAAGATTTCTGTTCCTGCTCGTTGGCGTTTTGGGGAATGTGGCTGAGGAGCTGTGTGCTGGACAGGTGGGCTGGGGAGATTAAACACAGGTGAGCTGAGATTAAACACAGGTGAGCTGAGATTAAACACAGGTGAGCTGGGGAGATTAAACACAGGTGAGCTGAGGAGATTAAACACAGGTGAGCTGAGGAGATTAAACACAGGTGAGCTGAGATTAAACACAGGTGAGCTGAGATTAAACACAGGTGAGCTGGGGAGATTAAACACAGGTGAGCTGAGATTAAACACAGGTGAGCTGAGATTAAACACAGGTGAGCTGAGATTAAACACAGGTGAGCTGAGATTAAACACAGGTGAGCTGAGATTAAACACAGGTGAGCTGAGATTAAACACAGGTGAGTTGAAGAGATTAAACACAGGTGAGGTGAGGAGATTAAACTCAGGTGGGCTGAGGAGATTATACACAGGTGAGCTGGGGAGATTAAACACAGGTGGTAAAGACAGGTGAAGTGAGAACATAAAACACAGGTGAGCTGAATGGCAGAAGGAGGCAAATCAAACAATAATTGGAAACATGCACACATTTTAGATAGAAAAAACATCAAATTAACTGGGGAAACAATTAATAGGGGTCTGAATTTTCAGGTAGGTAAAGCATAAAAGAAGTTCCAAGTTCCAACCATGGGCAGATGAGGCTTGTTAGCTGGGGACAACATCCTATCTTGATCTAGTAGAGAAAACTCCAAAATCAAACAACTGCTGTCTTGTAGTCGATAAAGAGCATAAAAAGTTGACACATAATATTTAGTGTTAATTAATCTAGATGCATGTCAGCTGAGCATATTGCTGACCATATAGTCCCTTTATATGGTCACAAAAAGAGAAACTCTACTCCAGCTTTACTTCTTTTTCAAAAGCCACAATAAAAGTGTTAACAATAAATCATAAATTGTGATAGCTGGATTTCAATAAACTGAAGTGGTCTGTGTGTAGATAACGGTGTGTGGATAATGAGGTGCTTGCAAGTTTTAAAGATGATTTGTGTGCAGGTGGTTGCAAGTTTTAAAGATGATTTGTGTGCAGGTGCTTGCAAGTTTTAAAGATGATTTGTGTGCAGGTGCTTGCAAGTTTTAAAGATGATTTGTGTGCAGGTGCTTGCAAGTTTTAAAGATGATTTGTGTGCAGGTGGTGGCAAGTTTTAAAGATGATTTGTGTGCAGGTGCTTGCAAGTTTTAAAGATGATTTGTGTGCAGGTGGTGGCAAGTTTTAAAGATGATTTGTGTGCAGGTGCTTGCAAGTTTTAAAGATGATTTGTGTGCAGGTGGTGGCAAGTTTTAAAGATGATTTGTGTGCAGGTGCTTGCAAGTTTTAAAGATGATTTGTGTGCAGGTGGTGGCAAGTTTTAAAGATGATTTGTGTGCAGGTGGTGGCAAGTTTTAAAGATGATTTGTGTGAAGATAATGAGATGCCTGGAAGTAAGTTTTAAAGATGATCCCAAACTCACCATCCACTTGACTGAGAAGAGTGGGTGGTTCATCATCATAGCTGGTGGCTTCCTCCTCAGACTCCTTCACCTGCTGCAAACTGGCTTTTGGTGGTATAAACTCTTGTAACAGGGTAGACTGCTGAACCTGGGCATAAAAGGGAGGTTTCATTGTTAAAGTTTTGATTAAACTGGCCTTTTGGTATAAACTCTTGTAACAGGGTAGACTGCTGAACCTGGGCAAAAAGGGAGGTTTCATTGTTAAAGTTTGTATTAAACTAGCCTTTTGGTATAAACTCTTGCAACAGGGTAGACTGCTGAACCTGGGCAAAAAGGGAGATTTCATTGTTAAAGTTTGTATTAAACTGGCCTTTGGTGGTATAAACTCTTGTAACAGGGTAGACTGCTGAACCTGGGCATAAAAGGGAGGTTTCATTGTTAAAGTTTTGATTAAACTGGCCTTTTGGTATAAACTCTTGTAACAGGGTAGACTGCTGAACCTGGGCAAAAAGGGAGGTTTCATTGTTAAAGTTTGTATTAAACTAGCCTTTTGGTATAAACTCTTGCAACAGGGTAGACTGCTGAACCTGGGCAAAAAGGGAGGTTTCATTGTTAAAGTTTGTATTAAACTGGCCTTTGGTGGTATAAACTCTTGTAACAGTGTAGACTGCTGAACCTAGACATAAAGGGAGGTTTCATTGTTAAAGTTTTGATTAAACTGGCCTTATGTGGTATAAACTCTTGTAACAGGGTAGACTGCTGAACCTGGGCATAAAAGGGAGGTTTCATTGTTACAGTTTTGATTAAACTGGCCTTTGGTGGTATAAACTCTTGTAACAGGGTAGACTGCTGAACCTGGGCAAAAAGGGAGGTTTCATTGTTAAAGTTTGTATTAAACTGGCCTTTGGTGGTATAAACTCTTGTAACAGGGTAGACTGCTGAACCTGGGCATAAAAGGGAGGTTTCATTGTTAAAGTTTTGATTAAACTGGCCTTTGGTGGTATAAACTCTTGTAACAGGGTAGACTGCTGAACCTGGGCATAAAGGGAGGTTTCATTGTTAAAGTTTTTATTAAACTGGCCTTTGGTGGTATAAACTCTTGTAACAGGGTAGACTGCTGAACCTGGGCAAAAAGGGAGGTTTCATTGTTAAAGTTTGTATTAAACTGGCCTTATGTGGTATAAACTCTTGTAACAGGGTAGACTGCTGAACCTGGGCAAAAAGGGAGATTTCATTGTTAAAGTTTGTATTAAACTGGCCTTATGTGGTATAAACTCTTGTAACAGGGTAGACTGCTGAACCTGGGCATAAAAGGGAGGTTTCATTGTTAAAGTTTGTATTAAACTAGCCTTTTGGTATAAACTCTTGTAACAGGGTAGACTGCTGAACCTGGGCATAAAAGGGAGGTTTCATTGTTAAAGTTTATATTAAACTAGCCTCTTGTGATATACAAGTTGGTAATAGATTTAAGGGGGCTCAAGAAGCTGACGTGTAATAATTGTGTTGGAGGAAATCCCCTTCAATTATTGCAATGAAGAGTGAAGAAGAAAATGAATTAGTATCACTATATATATAAACATTATTTACTTCTCTAACACCTGGAGTTGCAGACAAAACAAAAAAAGAACAATTAAAACATTTGTGGGAAATTTAACGAAGAAACTTTTAAAATATTATTATAATTATAATAGCGGTCTTGCAGTTAAACATTTTTAAAAATAATATTTGTGTTGTGGGTTGGAAACAACTCATTAAAAATATCTTTGCATTTAACTAGTCTAGCAGAACAGAATGTAGCAACTAGTCTAGCAGAATAAAAACCACTAGCCTAGCACTTTCTAACACCCACTAGCCTAGCAGTTTAAAACCCTCCAGCCTAGCAGTTTGAAACCCTCCAGTCTGGCAGTTTAAAAAATATCTACTAGTCTAGCAGTTTAAAAAATACCTACTAGTCTAGCAGTTTAAAAAGTAACCAAAGATGTTCTCACCGGGAAAGGCTCAGGTCCCTCCTGTATAATAAAACCTTCTATGTAGTGTGTGAGTATCTGTGGCTTGACGATGGCTCTCTGTTTCTCTATAACAGGTGGGTGATGGGATGGCTCCAGCACTGTCAGGGGCTTCGTCTCTTTGATCAGAGTGGTCAAGCCGGCCGCATCCATGGCCACAGGGTCAATCATGCTGGCCTGTTTGGCCATGTCATGCACCACTGGTTTTTCTTCCATGGTGATGTTGTCTATGGTGACTTTCAGCGCCTGGTCTGGGTGGTGTCTGACAGGAGGGAGGGTGGCGCCACCACTGACGGGGGTGCTGGGCTTGTTGCCCGTGTGGGGGGAGATGCTGGTGGTCACGGTGGAGGAGGCCACAGTGGCTTTGATCTTTTCTCTGAGTGATGATGAGTCGGTTGTTGTGGGCGTCTGTACCTTGTTTACTTCAAACTGGAAAAAAATAATTTAAAAAAAAAATTTATTAGGAAATGTATTTTTATATGATGGGAGATAACTTTTATCTCCCCTGACTCAGGTCAGACAACTCATCAATGTTGATTGGGCTTCTTGACAGCCTGGAGGTAGAAAAACAGCTTAAAGCTAATAATTTAAAAAATATATTTTAAGATTAGTAGCTGCTTTCTTTTTTACCAGCCTTGGATTATTTGGGTTAGGGTTAAAGGACTCAACGAACCTTAACTTCAGGAGGATCTGGTGGCACCTTGGCTGTCAAGGCCTGGGTGTTTAGCTGGGGGATGGCTGGCATGGGTTGTTTGGAATCCTTGGCGTCAGAGATGAGAGGAGTGACAGCTGAAGATGAAACGATGGGCGCGGTGGCGGTGGGTAGTGAGACGACCAGAGTGGTGGTGGAGGACGTGGTGGTGGTCACCGTGCTGGACAGGATGCCAGACTTGGACTGGGCAGAGGGGAACACGGTGGCCGTGCAGGTGGCAGTTTTAGGCTGGGCTTTGGGCCTGGACTTGGGCGTTCTCTGAACAGCCGGGACACTGAGCTTGGCCTGCTGGGAGACGTTGGGTTGTATTTTGGCAGTGACTGGGCTGCGAGGGACAGAGGGTAGCATCACTTTCCCAGAGGCATTGGTTTGCTGAAATTAAAAAAAAAAGTTTCTTTCACCCATATTAAAGATAGTTTTCAAAATCACATTTATTTTGCAACCTAAATACTCTTCAGGATATAAATATTTAGGTATGGTCCATATATATACACACTCAGTTTGACCCATTTTAGATATATGGTCACTAAATATTGTTTCAGATATTTCTGCATACAGTATTAGATTTGATAGCAGCTTAAAATATATTGATTTTTTTTAGTTATGGCAGCTATTAATGATTCTGGATGTGGTCAATGTAAACATTCTAGATATAATTACTGTATTCAGTTCAATAAATGATCTCTGTGAAAAACTTCAAGGGATTGTACAAATTTCTAGATAATGATAGCGTCAAAACTCTAGAAATAGTGGCAGTAGTTATTGCATTTAGTTCAATAAATGATCTCTGAAAAATTCAAGGGCTTGTATATATTTCAAGATATTGACAGTGTTCAAAACTAGAAATAGTGGCAGTACAGTTATTCAGTTCAATAAATGATCTCTGTGAAAAATTGCAAGAGTATAAATTTCTAGATATTGATGCTGTTCAAAACTCAAGAGATCGTGTCAGTAGTTACTGTATTCAGTTCAATAAATGATCTATGTGAAAAATTCAAGGGATTGTATAAACTTCTAGATATTGATGCTGTTCAAAACTCAAGAGATAGTGGAAGTAGTTACTGTATTCAGTATAATAAATGATCTCTGTGAAAGTTGCAAGAATTGTATAAATTTCTATATATTTATGCCATATAAATAGTGGCAGTACCTTCCCAGTCTGCTGTTGTTGTACTGGTTGCTGCTGAGGTTTCATGCCAGTGAAGGCTTGCATGCTGGTCACTGTGATGGGCTGCTGCTGGATGGTGCCTGGTGTACGGATCAAGAAGTTCTGACCCGCAAATATGGTCTGAAAAATAAAATTTGGCTAATTAATTTTAAAAAATATTAATATTGTTAACAAAAACAAGTTTACACTTTAGCTTGCAAGGTGTTGCTAAAATGAAACTTCAATCTAGCAAAAATATTTTTTTTTAAACTAGATCAATGAGCAATTATTTCATTGAATGTCTTTTTAATCTGATAAAAATATTTTTACTCAATTTACATTCTCAATTTTTTTTTTTAAACTTTACATGATTTTCTAGCATTTGAGTATTAATGAATATTTCGAATACATTTGTGAGTATTTCTAATTTTAAAATCTAACTTAAACAAGTAAAGAGCAATACAATTTGAGTCATAGTATTTTGAGGAAAATTAAATATGGCCCCTATTGTTACCATGGCAATACAATAAAAAAAAGTAAGTAAACAACGGAAACCATTTTACATATTGAAACCCACTTATTTAAGTAAACAAGATGTATTGTATATGGCACTAAACAAAATAAGTTCAGTGAACTATTTATGTTACCTAAGCAAACATTACACCAGGTATTTTTTCTTTCACCCCCCACCAATCCCGAAACTTTGTAATAAGTAAACTTTTATACATTTTATTTACCACTAAACAACCACCTAATAATATTTAACAAATAATTTTACCACTAAACAACCACCTAATAATATTTAACGAATAATCTGAGACTCACTGGCATCTGAGACTGGCCTTGATTGATAATCTGCTGATGGCCAGGGGCCGTGGCTATGGGAATTCCCTGCTGCATCTGCAAGTTGGCCATGGCCTGCATGATGGCCTGACTGGTCAGTATGTTCTGCATGGGCTGGGAGGTGATGATCTGACCGGCGCTGTTGACCATCTGGGTTTGGTTCAAACGAATTCCACCTTGGTGCGTGCTTACTGTACACTACGGTAAGTGGAGAAAAATGGTGGGATTTTGTTAACAATTTGACAAAAAAGTGGAGTTTTGTTAAAAAATGGAATTTGGTTAGGAATTGATAAGAACATGTTAAGTGGTTAATATTGTAATTGTACACTTTAAACCAATTAAACTTTGTACAACAAAAGTGTACGATTATTAGTCCATGAATAGATTTTATGCAAGTTAAGCACTTAAAATAAAATGATTGCAACCATTTTCTACAAAACCTTGCTGATACCTATAAAAAAGTTTTAAATGCACTAAAAATAAGAAAATAAACATGCATCTTTTTTGTAGTAATTCTAGTATAAATAAAGACATTTATTGGTCTAAAAATATTTAAAATATTTTCAACAAGTAACCCTTTTTATACAATTTTTAACCAGGGACTCCATCCCAGCTTAATCCATTCATGCTTTATGCCTATATAGGGAACTCTTAGTAAAAACTAGAAGTTTTCATACAAAAATACATGTATAATATTAAAGAAGATTTTTAACAAAATGTTTTTTTAAAAAATATAGATGGTTTGATAATCACTAAATTGAACTAGCGCCGGGGATCGGATGAAATGGAAGGAAATGGTAGAGGCCCTATGTTCCATAAGGAGCTGAGAGGACTAAATCAAGTCAAATTAAACTAACCTGTAAAAGAAAAGTCATTTACCTGCGGGACAAAATTATTGGCCAGGTTGGGATTAGCTTGACTGGAGAAAACACCAATCTGGCCCAGAACCATGGGGGCTGCTGCATTCTGCTGGGCTGGCAGCACTGTCTGTTGCTTGGCAACCATGGAAGCTATGGCAGCAGTGTTGCTCTGGCCTTGACCTGCCTGACCTTTGGTGCCATTGCCCTGACCCTTGGTGCTGGTGTTGGAGACAGCTCCCTGGGTCAGCATGCCCTGCATGGTGCCAGAAATCAGGTTGTTGCCGTTTCCCAGGGACATGTGGGTGGGCTGGTGATAGAAGAGTCATTTTCATTACATGTTTTTTATGGGTATCTTGATATCATGATCATTTAGTCACCTGATATCTCTGTGTCAATTGGTAAACCCAACATCTATGTCAATTGGTAACTTGACATCTGTATGTCAATAGGTAACCTGACATCTGTGTGTCAATAGGTAACTTGTGTCAATCTGTGTCAATTAGACCATCATGTCAACTGTAATGTTTTACTTTACTTTTTATAAGGGCCAGAAATTATGAAAAAAAATCATCTACTTTCACATTTTTAAGGAACAGGCTAAAACGACAAAATTATTATAAGTTCAAACCGAAGTAATTTTAGAAACAAGTAGGACCAAACAGGATTAAGATATTCCAGATGACACTGAACAGCAGTTATGTGCACACAATTTTAATTGCATATACAGATGCACTTCTCGTCTTGCAGTGGAATTAATAAAATTATGCCAATAGCTTAATTAATTACAACAGAAGCTATGTTCTTCAACAAAAACTGTTTTTCTAAAATGTGTTACCTATAAGATAAATGGGTCAAACTAGATGCAATATGCAACAATAGAGAGAAATTTATTTCAAAGATGTTAGTCATTATTTCAATAAGAATTCGTTGAAATTTATGAAAAGCTTTACAAAGCCGTTGGTTGAGGTGTTTTAGTCCATTAAGTAGAAGTTAAGAAGCTTAACTATTGCCTTACAGTGTATTTGAAAACTGAATAACCTTCATAATTTAAAAACTTAGTAATAGGTTTGGAAATGTGTTTTTCTTTCAAAGAAACAATTTCTTGTTGAAAAAGTCTATAATCTAAAACAACCCAACTGTTAAAACTTAACTTTTTTATTTCAATTTTAATTAAATGGTACTGTTTAGTTTTCTTTCAAAAAATGTAAAACTATTAATCAAGATTAAATAGATAAAATATCCAGGTTTTTAATTGGCGTGGCCTAGAAGCAGAGAGCTAGACTGCTAACCCGAAAGTCTCGAGTTCAAATCCTGGTTCAAATCAGTAGAATATCCCTGAGTTCACCCAGCTCTGATGGGTACCTAACTCACATTAGGGAAACAAAGACGGCTGGGCATAGTGCTGACCACATTATCCCGTTGTATGCCAAGGTCAATGAAACATATGAACTCTACTTCATCTACCCCATGTATCTTGAGCACAAACGGAATAAGATGATGATAAATTGGTTATTGTATTTTCTCATTAACCTCCTTTTAACTCCTTCTATACCAGAGGCGTTTCCACCTCCTGACCTCATTATTTGCGAGACCCAATTTTTTTTACACAGCCCTCACCTACTTAAACAATTATAGCTCCTATGTTTTTCTAACCAGATTTATTTATTATACATCAAAATGAACAGAAATGAAATTTCTATAGTAGTAAATAAAAATAATTGTGAATTATGTTAAAGAATGTAGGTTTTTTACATGTTAAATGACTTGAAAAAAAAACTAACACTAGCCGTGTCGAGCCGTACCTAGCGGCTCGCGGGCCTACGGTGAAGCTGGCCCAAGCCGCATCTCGCGGCTCATGGGACGGATTGAGTTAAATAAAATTTGTTTAACAAGTGTTGCAGAATCAGCCAAAAATGTTAAAGATTCAAACCTTCTGACTACCAACTAAAACTCTGGTTAGAAAGCTAGATGTGAATTATTAGCTGCAACATGGTTAACACTAATACCACTAAAAAGCAGTTATAAAATTACTCGTTTATTAACATACTTGCCATCCCAGCATATGGTATTTAACTTCAAATAATTACCAGCACTATCATTAACAAGGTTGGTTTAAAGAAAAGCGGCATAAACCCACCAAAAACAAAGCATACATTATTTTTTCATTAACGTGGTTGATAAGGAACAAGTAAGAAGGTCTCTTATTTACAGTTATCAATTACGGTTAACTGAAAAAAAAATTTTTTTTTAATTTCCAGAAAAATAAAAATAAATGTGTGTTAAAAATTCCATTCATAACTATTATCTGAAAATAGTATTCTTCTCTGCCTGAGGTTAGTGTTTCAAAAGCATAAAATAGCTAAATAAAAACTTGTCAGGCTATCTGAAACGAAACAAACCACACTCTGTAATGCACTAGGAATCTTGTTTAAGGGTTAACATACAAAAGCCGTTACTGTTTTAAAATCCACAAATTCAAGTTTTGAACACACCTAACAAAATGTTTCATTAAATGAAACAGGTATTCATAGGTAACAAGTATGTACACAGTTCGTAGATAAAGAGCATGTTTGTACACAGATGTTCAATATGTAAACATAAACTATATTTTTTTACAACATACTTCAACACAGTAACATTTAATACAGATTTTACACACACTACATTATCTTTTACAAAGCAAACAGACATTGAACACGCAGGGTACACAGAACCTGTCACATGATCAATATGTGTTTCTATCCAAAACACACGCTTCGCAAAACATCAACAAAAGAAGCAGCATGGGTAATTAGGTCCTTAAACTATCGCAAAAGGAACATTTTCTTCACATTGTTATCATCAAATGTTTGTTTATATTTCAGCTTTGTTTAAACCAGATAAATTTACACCACAATTTTAAGTCCATATTCAACACACAATTAACATTAGTCGTATGCCTCAACTAGAAAACCTAATTCTTCTTTTGACTAAAAGGAATATATGATTTACTGACTTAAAAATATTTTTTTTTTACAACAGAGACAGTGAACAGACAAAAAAATAATTAAGTAACTATTTTAATATTTTTTAAATCAACTCATATGCATTAGTTATGTCATATAAGCAGCAGCATAGCACAAAAAGTTAGTGCATTAATCATCCTTTAAAAAAAAAATCAGCCTGTTAAAAAGTTTGATCAAATTTGCATGAAACAAGAATTGTTTTAGAGAGCAGAGTTTTTAAAAAACCATAAGCTGGTAGTGAAACAAAGTGCTAGCACAGAGCTGGGTGCAATACAGGATGGTTAGTCACCTGCTCCTGCTCAAATACTTACTGGCAACATCCCCTGGGAGTCAGGGTGAACTCGTCGCAGTGCAGGTTCAAAGTTCAACTGAACAGTGGGAGAACATGACATAGATTTCTACATTAACAAATAGAGAACTCGACTTAGTGACTTAGGTCTTTTTACACCTACTTGAAACATTAAGAACTACAACTTTAACAATGAGTAATATGAATGAAGGGCATAGTGCTGACCACAATATCTCTTCATAAGCCGAGGTCACAGAAACAAATGAACTCTATTTCACTTGCCCTATAGATCGTCAGGTTTGAAAAGGGAACTTTTAATATGAATGATAGGCTAAATTAATTATCCAGAATTTGTTACAATTTACAAGGGTTAGTAATACTAACAAATTACATTTGAAGAAATATTTTGAATCATAACAGAAAAACTTAAAAGATTATAGCAGTTTTATATTTGTTTCCTTAAATTTTAACTTAAAGAGAACTAGACATGACAAACGGCTAATATAACCAACAGGGGAACAAGCTAGTTTATTGTTTCAATATGCCTATGCTATTTTAAAAAATAACAAACTGAATTATAAAAATAAGCACCTAACCAATAGTAAACCCAGAATTTAAAAACTAAATAAATGGATGAATAGATCATGTTCCTATAGAAATTGCTGAAACTTACCATCTGGGAGGCAGCAGTAGGGGAGAGAATTCCACCTGGGCTGCCAGGGTTGGCACTGGTTGCAGTTCTTTGCTGTTGTTGCTGCTGCTGTTGTTGCTGCTGTTGTTGTTGTTGTTGCTGCTGCTGCATGGCAAAGTTGATCTGATTCATCTGCATGGCTGTCGTACAACAGGCAGAGAAGATAAATTTAGAATAACATCAGAACAACTCATGCTCACACAAAATATTCTCCAGAATTTTTTTTTTATTATTTAATAAACTTGTATAAAAAATTAATTTAATGGAAAAGAAATTAATATCCTATTATAAAAAAAGATGTATTAAAAAATCAAATTACAAAACTCATTGAATTAATAGAATAATGTACTTTTTTTAAAAAAATGTTACACAATCAATATTATTAATTTATTACCTAATGCATTGGCATTTTGAAGAACAAAGGGCTGGTACTGTGAGAAGTAGGGTTGTCCGTGCATGGGCTGACTGATGACTTGAAGCTGGGGGAGGGGCGTGTTCTGGGCTCGCATGGTGTTGGCAGCGGCCGTGAGGGTTGGTTGGGGGGTGGGGGCCTGGGGGACAACCATGCCCTGCAGGGGTAGGGTCCCTACAGTGGAGACTCGCGTCTGCTGCTGAATCTGCTGTTGAAGTGCCTGCTGCTGTTGATGTTGTTGTTGTTGCTGTGCTGACTGCTGCACCATTTGGGGCTGTTGCTGGGGTGGGTTTTGTGCCTGGGGTTGTGGGGTGGGCTGTTGTGACACAGGCTGTTGCTGCTGTTGAGGCTGAGGTAGATTCTGTTGTTGCTGTTGTTGTTGTTGGTCAGCCATCATAGAGAATGGTTTTGAAACTTTATGACAAATGTATCTGTTTTCTTCACACTAGATTCTGTAATAAACAAGAATAATAAGCAACGTTACTTGGTGTTTATTCTGAATGTCAGACTGTCTATCACTTTGTTTTTACTTGATAGATGTTTAGTGGCTACAGGACATTACCCCCCCCCCCCTCAAGTTAGAATCCTCTAACTCAATCTATACCTATATATTACCTTAATCCTAATCATAAGAAAAAGACCAAAACATAAGCATTCACGTCAGGCTTAAAGTTAACACAAAACCAAAACCAACTCTACATTTGTTTAAGCCTAACCTTGACCATAACACTAACCCTAAACCCTAGCTGTACCTTAAGCAATGTCTGTGGGGGGGGGGGGGGGGGGGGGGGGGGTAATGTCGGGGGAGGGGGAATGCCCTGTTCCCATGTTTAGTATACATGTCTACAGGTTCCACCACCCAATCAATTTATCTCAAACACTTTAACCAGGAGAACTTTACTCAACTGAGCATCTTTTACATTCCTATTTGGCATATTTTGTATATAAACTCTGCTTTTTTTAAAAATGCGACCATCATTCCAGCTAAAGCCTCAGTTTCAGAGTCATGAAAAACTGTTGTTCCATAAAGTAAATAAAAACTTTTGTTCTACATGCTCAGTGTATTACAAAAATACTTATAAGCCAAACCCTTTTAACATCGAGGGCAGATCCAAAAATGCTTTATTTATATACAAAAGCTAACACCATAAAATAATGGGTTTAGGACAATGGACAAACCAGGACATTATTACCCACTGTATTTACCCCTAATAAATGTTATACAGTGTTTACACTAGAAAAAAACGCTCAGCAAATTAGTTTACATGTTCAGCAGGAAAATGTTTTCATATAATATTAATGATTAACTTGCTGTGAATTTTTTTCCCTAGACATGTAAAGAATACATGTCGCAAGTGTAAACACTGTGTAACTTGCAAAGTGAGAAACACTGCATTTTATGGAAAATACAAAATGAGTTGACAGAGAACAAAATAAATTTGGTTTTAAACTCTGCCAATGAGGAGGGAACAGGGTGAGTGTAAAAAAAAAACCTTACTTCATCTAGAATATTTGCTATCCCTGCATAACCCTAACATAGCCTTTTGATTAGGTACAGGATTATGGTCAATTTGTTAGCAGGGGGAGTGAGTAGGTTAAAATTAATGTTTTACTCCAGTTTTTGGGCAGGAAGGAGTTAACTGACCTAGGTGTATGTGAGGGGGGATGGGGGTGGGGAATACTAGTCAGATACTGTTCTTTTTTATTAATATAGTATCCAGAATTTTACTACTGGTGTACATTCATAAAATTAGCATGTTACAAACCAACACAGTACAAAGGTCTAAGAAACGTAACTACCTAAAATATCTTTCTCCGCTGCTTTGTTAATTTAAGTTGTAAAATTATTAATTATATATACTAAAAAATATACTTAAAAAATATTACATAATATAAAGCTAAGTTTGACCTTGATTACATGGAGTAATAGCTATACAAATGCTATCACATTCATTAAATTTACAAATTAATTATCTAATCAAAGAGATCCTGTTTAATCACACCATACTCTTTGAAACTGAGTCCCTGTATTAAAAAACATCGTAAGTTATGTTAACTATTCAATGTTTGATGCTGACTATGAACATATTGAATGATATTTTAAGAAGAAAATCATGGTATGTATTTTGACTCAAAGATAGGGTGTGAAATTTGTTTTTATTAGAGAAACAAAAATGTTAAAGACTTTAATAGTTTTAATTTCACCTAATCTGAGATTAGCCAGTTTAGTAATCATTGTGAACTTATAATATGCTAAACAAGCCTTTGCAGTCATGGAAAAAAAAATGGAGATAGAAGAAAATCTCCTACAAGACCAAATGCAGACTTTTACTTTTCAAAAGTAATGTCCTTAGTGTCCTTCTGTATAGCAGTGAATACTGAATTTACAAGGAGAAATGAAAATGGAAGCAATTCCAAAAATAATCTAACAAAGAAGATGGCGCTGGATAGGCTTTAGTTTAAAGAATGAATTAGTACTTCGCATCACAGAAATATCACTGGATGCCTCTGGAAAGGTCAAGGGAGACGTTGAGGTGCAAAGCAGAAAAACAACTAACAAGAGCAGGATAATCTTGGGGGACTGCCAAGAAAATTGTCTGAGACAGCCAAAAGTGATAATTGATGATTAATGTAGTGCTTCCTTTGCAGGACTTTTATTGAAAAAACTATTAAAAATGTGGTCCATACCCTAGCACTGTTGTGCAAAAAAACTTTTTGTTTTATAAGAAACAGATGATAATTTTATTTTAGTTTGAATGGTCAGATTTTGAAAATTCAAGCACCTTTATGATATCCTAGAACAAGAAATTTTAGAAATAATAGAAGCTATTCAAAAAAACAAAAAGCAATAAGGCTCCAGGATGCTAAAGGCAGACCCAAAAATAGGTGCAGAAACTCTATCAGGGATCTTCAATAACATATGGAATGAACAAAAAGTCCCAGATTCTTGGAAACAGGGAATCATCATCAAATTACCCAAAAGGGCGACCTTAATGTTTGTGAGAACTGGAGAAGCATTAACCTTCTATCAGTACCAGGAAAAGTCTTCTGCAGAGTCCTATTACAAAGAAAGAGGAAGGGAATTGATGGAATCCTTCGTCAAGAACAAGCTGGCTTCAGGGTCAACAGGTCATGTAATAACCAAATATTTGTCTTGCGCACTATAGTGGAACAGTCCCTGGAGTGGAATTCGTCTCTCTACATCAACTACATAGATTTCAAGAAAGCGTTCGATAGCATCCACCACCCATCATTATGGAAGATACTAGAGCTATACGGCTTCCCAGGTTGAAGACTTTAAGTACCTCGGCAGCTATATATCAGCAAATGGCAGCATGGAGAAAGAAATTGCCACCAGAATAGCAATGGCAGCACAAGCTTTCAACAGACTCGCTAAGATCTGGAAATCATCCTCACTGCAGCAGAGAACTAAAATAAGGATCTACAAGTCTAATGTACCTTCTGTACACCTCTCTCCTCTATGCTGCAGAGTCATGGAAACTAAACAAGAAAAGAGAGAGCTGACTCAGAGGCTTTGAAAGAAGATCCATCCAACGTATCCTCAGAATAAAGTGGGACGACAAAGTCCCGAACAAGGAAATATGGCGAAGGACAGGATTAAACGACATTGTTTCAGTAGTTCGAATGAGGAGATGGCTGGGCCATGTCCTATGCATGAGCAAAAGAAGACTCCCCAATATGGCGCTGAAGTGGAATTCGCCTGGAAAGGGAAAGAGAGGAAGACCACTGGGAACATGGAGGAGAGAGATGGAAGAAGAAGTGCAGGCTACTGGCAGACCTGGCATGAACTAAAGTGGCTTGCCCAAGACAGAGTGGAATGGTGGAGATTTGTTGTTGCCCTGTACTCCACAGGGAGTGATGAAGATTAAGTAAGTAAGTAAGTATGATATCTTAATAATAGGTCTTAGGCTAAATATTAGATCTATAGTCTATAGGGCCTACTGTTTTACTATTATTTAATTTTTTTGCATTGATTAAAAATCCCTAGCGTTAAAGTCTAGCTAGAGAAAAGTTCTAGGTTATTTGTTTTGCTGATAATATAAAAAATAATGACTGCTGTGAAGGCCAAACTTATGACTTTAATGCAACATTATTATTTTATCAGTGTAAGTTAAAGTAAGTTAGTAAGTCTACTGTTTAAAACACATTCAATAAATTTTTATTTTCACCATGGAAGGATCGTATCATTGAATTCATTGAGCCCTAACAAGAGCCTATTCAAATTTGGTGCAGACAAGCCTATATATTTACTACAATAAAACAATAGGCCAAAGGCAGTATACTTAAGACAAGTATACTATAGATAGGGCTAAGTATCTACAGGCAGATGAATTGAGTTAATGTTTCTTGACCTTGGCATATGACGGGATGGTGTGGTCCGCGCTATGCCCAGCATCCTTTAATTGGATGGACTCAGGGATGTCCTGCAGTCTCATTTCCAGACCAAGCGAATTGAACTTGTGATCTTTGGGATAGCAGTTAAATGCTCTACCACCTAACCATGGTGTCAGGTCTATATCTACTAAAATTTAATCTTTTTTTTTTAAAAAAAAGGCCTATTATAATCAGGCCTATAGTGGATTATTGGTATTACTGGTGTCAGACAATAGACTCTTCGGATAATAGGTGTGTTAGGCTGTTATTAGAATTGTATTAGCTTTATAATAGGGTTAGGACTATGGTAGGTAAGGACTAAACAGCTGTACTTTCTAATCAAGCAATTTGTCTATTTTAAGTCTATTGAGCTGAATTTAAAATTTAGAAAGACCAACGTTTAGATCTATATAGATCTAGAATCTTGCTTAAATCGTAACATTAACAACAGTGAAAATTGGGACATTCTTATAATTATAGGCCTACTGAAAATACTTCAAAATAGGCTATTGTGGATTTAAACTAGATCTAGATTCTAAAATGAAATCAAGCAACAATGATTTTTGTTAGGTAGTTAGGCTATATTTTTTGGGTAATATAACGATATATCGTCAGTTATTATTCCGGAATTGTACAGCAGTAAAAAAAACAGTAAAACCATGGCATAGTATGTCGAACCATTCAGAGAAACCACGGGAAATACTATTAAAGTTAAAGTGTAAACTATCATTTATTTGCATCCATATTATTTTTAATTTTAATAGGCCTACATAAAATGTTTACAAACGTGCATAGATTGATTTTAGTTGCATTTTAAATAGGCCTACTGTTTTGCTAATTATTTTGTATCCCTAATTATTTTAAGCGTATGTGCTAATTATTGCTGCTACTAACATTGTTCTAGTTCTTCTTACTATTTAACTTTAGGAAATTTAAGCATCTTGACTTATTTTACTAGATCTAGATTAGATTCTAGATCTAGTTGTTGCAAATCTTCTGCAAGTTTTTTTTTGTTTCTTAAACACTCAACTTTATTAATAATATTTAGATTTAGGGCCTACTAATTTTCTGTCAATTTAACTTTAAATTAAGTTACATTATTAGGGGCCTAATTTAATGCACTAGACTGTATTATTATTTCGACTGTCAAATAAACTATGGTTTACAATAATGAATGTTACAGAAACTCAACAAACATTACCCGATAATTTCCGATGCTAGATCTATTATATTTCTATAGGCCTATACTATATCGTGAGATTACCTTTTTTTATGATTGTATGTAGTATGTAAGGGATGATTATAGATACCGGTATCCGATAATGGAATCTTCTTTTAAAAAGGGGTGTTGGGTTGTTAGTAGTATTGTAATCTCGACTAATTTTAATAATTTTATGGTTAAAAATTAGGGTTAGGCGTATGGTAGGACCAAGGTTGGGGTTAGGGATAGGGTTAGCATTGACATTAGCCAGCCATGTGTGTATTTAGTTAACTACCAGTAACCTAACACCCCTTTTTTAAAGAAGATTCCATTATCGGACACCGGTGTAAACATTCTCCCGATTTGAGATCTAGCTACTAGCTAGACTAGTAGATTCTAGAATAGTTTTCTTATCTAGATCTAAATCTAGATATCTAGTAAACTAGTTGGTACAAATGGTAGATCTAGATCTAGATCTGAATTAGGTAGAGTAGTAGAGTGAGTGGAGAGTGGTAAGGCCAGAGTCTGTGTGAGATTAAGATTCAGATTATCATTTTTTGTCATTTGAGATTCTATTTCTAGATCTAGATCTAGGTCTCTATTTCTAGTACTTACAAATGAACAGTGTCAAGATGAATTTTAGATTTCAGTATTTTTTCATCCATCGAGTCATGTCACTTTGGTGAAGACATGCGCTTCGATTAAAGCATACACATTGGCTTCGATTTTTTTTTACTGGTACACGGTGCAGTTGGTGGCGGTGGTGGTAAGGTAAATAAACAAATTGTACAGTGTAGATCCAAGCAGATAATGTTCGTACATAATCCACAAAAATATTATGAAACCGCAAAGAATCAAGTCACATGCACAGTTAGAGACATTAAAAATAATAGTTTAATGTCGAATTACAATATATATTTGCTAACCAGCTTTGCAAAGGAACAATGAACTTTTCACACACTGATGGATGGTAGCCATTTTATGCGGCACTCACATCACGCAATTCTATTGGCTGGTGTTTGCGGGAATAGGGGAACGAAATGATGGTACGACATTACAGCCAAAATCATTAATTTGGTTACCTCTCTTTGACCATTTATTGAAAAAGTCACATAGTTTTTCAATAGAAAAATGCTTGTTTTGTTTGTGCAGAGCTGGAAAATTGAAACCTTTTTTTTTTTAAAAATTAGATTAATTAGTTTAAGTATCCAAATTAAAGCACGAAGTATTAGGGCTACAAAAGGTAAATCATGGGGAAAAAAAACTTTCTTAGGTTTTCTAAAATAAGATTTAAAAATTAGCCCTATTTCCATAATAAAAATATCACAATACAAATTCGGCACCAGATCTGGGTTAATTGGTGTGATGGAGAATACGTATGAACGCGGATGCAGACTGACGGGCGACGGGGGAGCAGAAGAAACACTGACAGATTTATAGCCTGATAGAAATCTGGGAAACCCAGTACGGAGCGTTGTTGCCGAGCCCTATATCGTATTTCGTCAGTAAACAAAACATGGCATTTCTTTTTTTTTTCCCGATCGTTCTGTCTGGATCTATCGTAGAAAATAGAAAACAATCTTTATTTATTTTGTTTTGGCAAAAATATTTTTAAAAAAATGGTGCTAAAATTTAAGAGAACATGTATGTAGGCCTAACGCTTTAAATATTAAGCACTGTTTATTTCTTTCCTTTGTATTTTAAATTGCGTTATTTATCGCCTTATACTCTATACAATGATGAAGACTATATACTTTTTAGTATTATAGTCTAAATATTGATTTGTGTGTATGTGCTAAAATTTTATAAAGAGAAAATATGCATAAAGAACATATAATAAATGTAAACATTAGGTTCAATTGTTGATTTTACTCCAATAGTTTTAAAACATTCTATGGCCATATCCACTATCATTACGTGGTCTCCCTTGATTACATAAGTCCTTATGCCTAACCTAGCATAAAGGCTACCTGTTGTATCACCAGAGTGGACAAAAACTTTATGTACCAGATCAGTTACATCCATACATTCTTATTGCCAGAATCGATGTGAACGGTACTTTAAGCCATTTACAGACATTAAAAGTAACATAAGGAACAAATTGTTTAAAATTCTATTTTTTAAATCTTAAAATCTCGTTAACCGCCTCAGACGTTTCATTCCATATCTAACCTAAACCTCATTTTTTTTCTGTTACTCAACAGGGACATCAGAGTACAGACCACCATGCTAATGCCGACAGACACCCCCCACCCCGAACACAACACCCCGAACACAACCCTCCACATCCCAAACACCCCCCCCCCCAAACACAAATTCTCCCCACCCCGAACACAACACCTCGAACACAACCCTCCCCACCCCGAACACAACCCCCCCCCCACCCCAAACACTAATTCTCCCCACCCCAAACACCCCCAACCACGACCATCCCCACCTTAACACGACCATCCCTACCCCGCTTGCATACAACCAATTCCCCCTCCACTCACCCACCTCACGATAACCCACTCCCCCCCCCCCCCCCCCCCCCCAAGCACACACCCTCCTGTTGTTGCCTACATCGCTAACACCGCCGTAGTGATTTATCACTGCCACGTTTTGCCGGGTGACTTTTGAATAGACCGACCAACGGACGGGTATGGGATGGTGCTTGGATTCTAAAATAGGTAACAAAAGGTCTTTAAAGGCCAGCGCAGGGGATACAATAATCAAGGAAGAGCTGCTTTGTGTTGAGTCGTTCCCATATAATGTTATGGTGTTATGGCGTTACCATTCTTGTCTAAGTAGCGTAGAATGTTTTTTCTTTCTTTTTTGTGTGTGTGTGTGGAAGTGAGCGGGGCGGGGGGGGGGGGGGGGGGGCGTATAAATATTATTCCATTTATTACTCTACGAGCCAAACGACTGGCTTCCACGGTCTGTTGATTTTCACGTGAGCTGTGTTTAAAACCAGCTGTTCTTTCTATACTACTAGGCATGCTGCCTAGCTTCGCTTAGGTTTTCAAAAACATTGAGAATTTGAATGCTTGATTTTTTTAATTATACATTTTATACATGTTTATACCAATTACACATTGCTTGTCATTTCTATATTTCCTATTATGTGACTTATATAAAACGTCTAAAAATGAGGTTGAGTAGCAATCGATTAAGTGTTCATTTCCTTACTCTTCGCCATGGGTATGGGTTTCGGATGGTGATTTGTTGCCTGCATCTTAATGCCCTCTTTTGGGAGGGTCACGTCGCAAAGGATGCATTGGAAGACACAGCCGACTTCAAGTGTGGATACTGCCTAACAAGTCTATATACCAAATACGACATAGAAAAACACCTCAACGACCAGCACCCCGAAAACGACCTCTGCCAAAATAAAATATTTTACATCCTCAACCCAGACAGATCCATTTCTTACATATATGCAGACGACAGAACATAAACAGACAACTACATTTTTAAAAAAAATGAAAAGGACAACTCTTCAATTAGGACACGCTGTACTCAACCTTAAACGAGATTTTGTCCATCCCTCCCCATCCGGATTCCAACACTTTCATTTTACCTTAACCCCTTTTACTGATTATCTCTTTGAGTTTTGTATAACAACACATATGATAACCATGTAAATACTTATTATTGGGAAGTTCATTTGTAAAAAAATTGGTTTCATTAGATGATAAAATTTATTAAAAAGTATAATGATTTTGATGTACTTATTTTAATTAACAAATAAATAAAAAAAACTTCCTCTGAGCGTGAAGTTGACCTCGAGACAGTCACAGCTTGAGTGACAGTCTCAGTAGGTCTTTGATGATCGTTCCTCTCCTCCCTCAGCGGGGAGTTGGAGGAGGATGTGACAATCCGATTGGTTTCTCTCTATCAAATGTAAAGAATGGTTTATCTAGCAAATGGTGCTGCCCACCACCAAAGCTTTTTCATGCAGCAAAAAGCACATTCGCTCTCCGACGACACGTGCTAGCATACCATATAACTTGTCCGTGTAGTAGTCTACGAACCAAACGACTGGCTTCCACGGTCTGTTGATTTTCACGTGAGCCTTGTTTACAACCGGCTGTTCATCCTATAGTTATGCGTCAACACACCGACGAACACGTCCACGATGCGTCTTTACAACGAAGCAAGCACTACATGCATTATAATACCCACAGTTTTCATGTTTTGTCTCCTGATAAGCAAAACAGCAGTAGAGATAATCAACAGAAAATCTATTTATATAGGGCTAGGTTTTGACAGGCAAATGTGAGTCCTATTTTCTAGCGTTTTAATTGTTTATTTATTCAACAGCAGATATCCAATGTTTTATGTATACCACTTTAAAATGTTACCCCGTTGATCGAAACATTTTAGTCTACCAACACAAGCGTTTTCACATTTCGGAAAATAAAACTTATTTGAAATAAAACGAAAGAAAAACTGAAGCAAAACGACAGCTAAATAATCGGCTCCGCATTTATTAAATTCGTTATCCTTCTCGTGACGTTGGCTGGATATATTACTTTTTTTTATCAAACACAAAGTTCACTAAAAACGGACAAGCATTAAATACAATTACGTTTGTGGGATGAGTAAGAGACCACTCAGCTCGTGTCAAACGTTAGCTTCCAATAGATAGTGATTCTTTCCCTTACAGTGAATTATTTCCCTTGATGTCGATTTTGATTTGTTTCTCTTTCCTACAGCGTTTTGCACTCTAAACGTGTGTCCATCAACTTTCTACTGGGCCAATAAGTGTGCGCCTACAAGCTTTCGATGACATATAACAAAACGAGTGCGTCAGACCTGTATCAAATATTTCTTAGGTGCGACACAACTCATGCTAGTCACCGTCCTAAAAACCATACCGTAACAGCGTTTGAATTACGTTGGGCCCGCTTCCGATGCATGACTCGAATAAGATCATACTTTTAGGGATCATTTCTAAAGTTGGTCTTGCCGGGACGTTGAGCAAAATTGAACGGCACGAAAACCATGATGACGAGATTCAGTCACTTCCTCTGAGCGTGAAGTTGACCTCGAGACAGTCACAGCTTGAGTGACAGTCTCAGTAGGTCTTTGATGATCGTTCCTCTCCTCCCTCAGCGGGGAGTTGGAGGAGGATGTGACAATCCGATTGGTTTCTCTAGCAAATGGTGCTGCCCACCACCAAAGCTTTTTCATGCAGCAAAAAGCACATTCGCTCTCCGACGACACGTGCTAGCATACCATATAACTTGTCCGTGTAGTAGTCTACGAACCAAACGACTGGCTTCCACGGTCTGTTGATTTTCACGTGAGCTTTGTTTACAACCGGCTGTTCATCCTATAGTTATGCGTCAACACACCGACGGACACGTCCACGATGCGTCTTTACAACGAAGCAAGCACTGCATGCATTATAATACCCACAGTTTTCATGTTTTGTCTCCTGATAAGCAAAACAGCAGTAGAGATAATCAACAGAAAATCTATTTATATAGGGCTAGGTTTTGACAGGCAAATGTGAGTCCTATTTTCTAGCGTTTTAATTGTTTATTTATTCAACAGCAGATATCCAATGTTTTATGTATACCACTTTAAAATGTTACCCCGTTGATCGAAACATTTTAGTCTACCAACACAAGCGTTTTCACATTTCGGAAAATAAAACTTATTTGAAATAAAACGAAAGAAAAACTGAAGCAAAACCACAGCTAAATAATCGGCTCCGCATTTATTAAATTCGTTATCTTTCGTGTGACGTTGGCTGGATATATTACTTTTTTTTATCAAACACAAAGTTCACTAAAAACGGACAAGCATTAAATACGATTACGTTTGTGGGATGAGTAAGAGACCACTCAGCTCGTGTCAAACGTTAGCTTCCAATAGATAGTGATTCTTTCCCTTACAGTGAATTATTTCCCTTGATGTCGATTTTGATTTGTTTCTCTTTCCTACAGCGTTTTGCACTCTAAACGTGTGCCCATCAAGTTTCTACTGGGCCAATAAGTGTGCGCCTACAAGCTTTCGATGACATATAACAAAACGAGTGCGTCAGACCTGTATCAAATATTTCTTAGGTGCGACACAACTCATGCTAGTCACCGTCCTAAAAACCATACCGTAACAGCGTTTGAATTACGTTGGGCCCGCTTCCGATGCATGACTCGAATAAGATCATACTTTTAGGGATCATTTCTAAAGTTGGTCTTGCCGGGACGTTGAGCAAAATTGAACGGCACGAAAACCATGATGACGAGATTCAGTCACTTCCTCTGAGCGTGAAGTTGACCTCGAGACAGTCACAGCTTGAGTGACAGTCTCAGTAGGTCTTTGATGATCGTTCCTCTCCTCCCTCAGCGGGGAGTTGGAGGAGGATGTGACAATCCGATTGGTTTCTCTCTATCAAATGTAAAGAATGGTTTATCTAGCAAATGGTGCTGCCCACCACCAAAGCTTTTTCATGCAGCAAAAAGCACATTCGCTCTCCGACGACACGTGCTAGCATACCATATAACTTGTCCGTGTAGTAGTCTACGAACCAAACGACTGGCTTCCACGGTCTGTTGATTTTCACGTGAGCTTTGTTTACAACCGGCTGTTCATCCTATAGTTATGCGTCAACACACCGACGAACACGTCCACGATGCGTCTTTACAACGAAGCAAGCACTGCATGCATTATAATACCCACAGTTTTCATGTTTTGTCTCCTGATAAGCAAAACAGCAGTAGAGATAATCAACAGAAAATCTATTTATATAGGGCTAGGTTTTGACAGGCAAATGTGAGTCCTATTTTCTAGCGTTTTAATTGTTTATTTATTCAACAGCAGATATCCAATGTTTTATGTATACCACTTTAAAATGTTACCCCGTTGATCGAAACATTTTAGTCTACCAACACAAGCGTTTTCACATTTCGGAAAATAAAACTTATTTGAAATAAAACGAAAGAAAAACTGAAGCAAAACCACAGCTAAATAATCGGCTCCGCATTTATTAAATTCGTTATCTTTCGTGTGACGTTGGCTGGATATATTACTTTTTTTTATCAAACACAAAGTTCACTAAAAACGGACAAGCATTAAATACGATTACGTTTGTGGGATGAGTAAGAGACCACTCAGCTCGTGTCAAACGTTAGCTTCCAATAGATAGTGATTCTTTCCCTTACAGTGAATTATTTCCCTTGATGTCGATTTTGATTTGTTTCTCTTTCCTACAGCGTTTTGCACTCTAAACGTGTGCCCATCAAGTTTCTACTGGGCCAATAAGTGTGCGCCTACAAGCTTTCGATGACATATAACAAAACGAGTGCGTCAGACCTGTATCAAATATTTCTTAGGTGCGACACAACTCATGCTAGTCACCGTCCTAAAAACCATACCGTAACAGCGTTTGAATTACGTTGGGCCCGCTTCCGATGCATGACTCGAATAAGATCATACTTTTAGGGATCATTTCTAAAGTTGGTCTTGCCGGGACGTTGAGCAAAATTGAACGGCACGAAAACCATGATGACGAGATTCAGTCACTTCCTCTGAGCGTGAAGTTGACCTCGAGACAGTCACAGCTTGAGTGACAGTCTCAGTAGGTCTTTGATGATCGTTCCTCTCCTCCCTCAGCGGGGAGTTGGAGGAGGATGTGACAATCCGATTGGTTTCTCTCTATCAAATGTAAAGAATGGTTTATCTAGCAAATGGTGCTGCCCACCACCAAAGCTTTTTCATGCAGCAAAAAGCACATTCGCTCTCCGACGACACGTGCTAGCATACCATATAACTTGTCCGTGTAGTAGTCTACGAACCAAACGACTGGCTTCCACGGTCTGTTGATTTTCACGTGAGCTTTGTTTACAACCGGCTGTTCATCCTATAGTTATGCGTCAACACACCGACGAACACGTCCACGATGCGTCTTTACAACGAAGCAAGCACTGCATGCATTATAATACCCACAGTTTTCATGTTTTGTCTCCTGATAAGCAAAACAGCAGTAGAGATAATCAACAGAAAATCTATTTATATAGGGCTAGGTTTTGACAGGCAAATGTGAGTCCTATTTTCTAGCGTTTTAATTGTTTATTTATTCAACAGCAGATATCCAATGTTTTATGTATACCACTTTAAAATGTTACCCCGTTGATCGAAACATTTTAGTCTACCAACACAAGCGTTTTCACATTTCGGAAAATAAAACTTATTTGAAATAAAACGAAAGAAAAACTGAAGCAAAACCACAGCTAAATAATCGGCTCCGCATTTATTAAATTCGTTATCTTTCGTGTGACGTTGGCTGGATATATTACTTTTTTTTATCAAACACAAAGTTCACTAAAAACGGACAAGCATTAAATACGATTACGTTTGTGGGATGAGTAAGAGACCACTCAGCTCGTGTCAAACGTTAGCTTCCAATAGATAGTGATTCTTTCCCTTACAGTGAATTATTTCCCTTGATGTCGATTTTGATTTGTTTCTCTTTCCTACAGCGTTTTGCACTCTAAACGTGTGCCCATCAAGTTTCTACTGGGCCAATAAGTGTGCGCCTACAAGCTTTCGATGACATATAACAAAACGAGTGCGTCAGACCTGTATCAAATATTTCTTAGGTGCGACACAACTCATGCTAGTCACCGTCCTAAAAACCATACCGTAACAGCGTTTGAATTACGTTGGGCCCGCTTCCGATGCATGACTCGAATAAGATCATACTTTTAGGGATCATTTCTAAAGTTGGTCTTGCCGGGACGTTGAGCAAAATTGAACGGCACGAAAACCATGATGACGAGATTCAGTCACTTCCTCTGAGCGTGAAGTTGACCTCGAGACAGTCACAGCTTGAGTGACAGTCTCAGTAGGTCTTTGATGATCGTTCCTCTCCTCCCTCAGCGGGGAGTTGGAGGAGGATGTGACAATCCGATTGGTTTCTCTCTATCAAATGTAAAGAATGGTTTATCTAGCAAATGGTGCTGCCCACCACCAAAGCTTTTTCATGCAGCAAAAAGCACATTCGCTCTCCGACGACACGTGCTAGCATACCATATAACTTGTCCGTGTAGTAGTCTACGAACCAAACGACTGGCTTCCACGGTCTGTTGATTTTCACGTGAGCTTTGTTTACAACCGGCTGTTCATCCTATAGTTATGCGTCAACACACCGACGAACACGTCCACGATGCGTCTTTACAACGAAGCAAGCACTGCATGCATTATAATACCCACAGTTTTCATGTTTTGTCTCCTGATAAGCAAAACAGCAGTAGAGATAATCAACAGAAAATCTATTTATATAGGGCTAGGTTTTGACAGGCAAATGTGAGTCCTATTTTCTAGCGTTTTAATTGTTTATTTATTCAACAGCAGATATCCAATGTTTTATGTATACCACTTTAAAATGTTACCCCGTTGATCGAAACATTTTAGTCTACCAACACAAGCGTTTTCACATTTCGGAAAATAAAACTTATTTGAAATAAAACGAAAGAAAAACTGAAGCAAAACCACAGCTAAATAATCGGCTCCGCATTTATTAAATTCGTTATCTTTCGTGTGACGTTGGCTGGATATATTACTTTTTTTTATCAAACACAAAGTTCACTAAAAACGGACAAGCATTAAATACGATTACGTTTGTGGGATGAGTAAGAGACCACTCAGCTCGTGTCAAACGTTAGCTTCCAATAGATAGTGATTCTTTCCCTTACAGTGAATTATTTCCCTTGATGTCGATTTTGATTTGTTTCTCTTTCCTACAGCGTTTTGCACTCTAAACGTGTGCCCATCAAGTTTCTACTGGGCCAATAAGTGTGCGCCTACAAGCTTTCGATGACATATAACAAAACGAGTGCGTCAGACCTGTATCAAATATTTCTTAGGTGCGACACAACTCATGCTAGTCACCGTCCTAAAAACCATACCGTAACAGCGTTTGAATTACGTTGGGCCCGCTTCCGATGCATGACTCGAATAAGATCATACTTTTAGGGATCATTTCTAAAGTTGGTCTTGCCGGGACGTTGAGCAAAATTGAACGGCACGAAAACCATGATGACGAGATTCAGTCACTTCCTCTGAGCGTGAAGTTGACCTCGAGACAGTCACAGCTTGAGTGACAGTCTCAGTAGGTCTTTGATGATCGTTCCTCTCCTCCCTCAGCGGGGAGTTGGAGGAGGATGTGACAATCCGATTGGTTTCTCTCTATCAAATGTAAAGAATGGTTTATCTAGCAAATGGTGCTGCCCACCACCAAAGCTTTTTCATGCAGCAAAAAGCACATTCGCTCTCCGACGACACGTGCTAGCATACCATATAACTTGTCCGTGTAGTAGTCTACGAACCAAACGACTGGCTTCCACGGTCTGTTGATTTTCACGTGAGCTTTGTTTACAACCGGCTGTTCATCCTATAGTTATGCGTCAACACACCGACGAACACGTCCACGATGCGTCTTTACAACGAAGCAAGCACTGCATGCATTATAATACCCACAGTTTTCATGTTTTGTCTCCTGATAAGCAAAACAGCAGTAGAGATAATCAACAGAAAATCTATTTATATAGGGCTAGGTTTTGACAGGCAAATGTGAGTCCTATTTTCTAGCGTTTTAATTGTTTATTTATTCAACAGCAGATATCCAATGTTTTATGTATACCACTTTAAAATGTTACCCCGTTGATCGAAACGTTTTAGTCTACCAACAAGCGTTTTCACTTTTTCGGAAAATAAAACTTATTTGAAATAAAACGAAAGAAAAACTGAAGCAAAACCACAGCTAAATAATCGGCTCCGCATTTATTAAATTCGTTATCTTTCGTGTGACGTTGGCTGGATATATTACTTTTTTTTATCAAACACAAAGTTCACTAAAAACGGACAAGCATTAAATACGATTACGTTTGTGGGATGAGTAAGAGACCACTCAGCTCGTGTCAAACGTTAGCTTCCAATAGATAGTGATTCTTTCCCTTACAGTGAATTATTTCCCTTGATGTCGATTTTGATTTGTTTCTCTTTCCTACAGCGTTTTGCACTCTAAACGTGTGCCCATCAAGTTTCTACTGGGCCAATAAGTGTGCGCCTACAAGCTTTCGATGACATATAACAAAACGAGTGCGTCAGACCTGTATCAAATATTTCTTAGGTGCGACACAACTCATGCTAGTCACCGTCCTAAAAACCATACCGTAACAGCGTTTGAATTACGTTGGGCCCGCTTCCGATGCATGACTCGAATAAGATCATACTTTTAGGGATCATTTCTAAAGTTGGTCTTGCCGGGACGTTGAGCAAAATTGAACGGCACGAAAACCGTGATGACGAGATTCAGTCACTTCCTCTGAGCGTGAAGTTGACCTCGAGACAGTCACAGCTTGAGTGACAGTCTCAGTAGGTCTTTGATGATCGTTCCTCTCCTCCCTCAGCGGGGAGTTGGAGGAGGATGTGACAATCCGATTGGTTTCTCTCTATCAAATGTAAAGAATGGTTTATCTAGCAAATGGTGCTGCCCACCACCAAAGCTTTTTCATGCAGCAAAAAGCACATTCGCTCTCCGACGACACGTGCTAGCATACCATATAACTTGTCCGTGTAGTAGTCTACGAACCAAACGACTGGCTTCCACGGTCTGTTGATTTTCACGTGAGCTTTGTTTACAACCGGCTGTTCATCCTATAGTTATGCGTCAACACACCGACGAACACGTCCACGATGCGTCTTTACAACGAAGCAAGCACTGCATGCATTATAATACCCACAGTTTTCATGTTTTGTCTCCTGATAAGCAAAACAGCAGTAGAGATAATCAACAGAAAATCTATTTATATAGGGCTAGGTTTTGACAGGCAAATGTGAGTCCTATTTTCTAGCGTTTTAATTGTTTATTTATTCAACAGCAGATATCCAATGTTTTATGTATACCACTTTAAAATGTTACCCCCGTTGATCGAAACATTTTAGTCTACCAACACAAGCGTTTTCACTTTTTCGGAAAATAAAACTTATTTGAAATAAAACGAAAGAAAAACTGAAGCAAAACCACAGCTAAATAATCGGCTCCGCATTTATTAAATTCGTTATCTTTCGTGTGACGTTGGCTGGATATATTACTTTTTTTTTATCAAACACAAAGTTCACTAAAAACGGACAAGCATTAAATACGATTACGTTTGTGGGATGAGTAAGAGACCACTCAGCTCGTGTCAAACGTTAGCTTCCAATAGATAGTGATTCTTTCCCTTACAGTGAATTATTTCCCTTGATGTCGATTTTGATTTGTTTCTCTTTCCTACAGCGTTTTGCACTCTAAACGTGTGCCCATCAAGTTTCTACTGGGCCAATAAGTGTGCGCCTACAAGCTTTCGATGACATATAACAAAACGAGTGCGTCAGACCTGTATCAAATATTTCTTAGGTGCGACACAACTCATGCTAGTCACCGTCCTAAAAACCATACCGTAACAGCGTTTGAATTACGTTGGGCCCGCTTCCGATGCATGACTCGAATAAGATCATACTTTTAGGGATCATTTCTAAAGTTGGTCTTGCCGGGACGTTGAGCAAAATTGAACGGCACGAAAACCGTGATGACGAGATTCAGTCACTTCCTCTGAGCGTGAAGTTGACCTCGAGACAGTCACAGCTTGAGTGACAGTCTCAGTAGGTCTTTGATGATCGTTCCTCTCCTCCCTCAGCGGGGAGTTGGAGGAGGATGTGACAATCCGATTGGTTTCTCTCTATCAAATGTAAAGAATGGTTTATCTAGCAAATGGTGCTGCCCACCACCAAAGCTTTTTCATGCAGCAAAAAGCACATTCGCTCTCCGACGACACGTGCTAGCATACCATATAACTTGTCCGTGTAGTAGTCTACGAACCAAACGACTGGCTTCCACGGTCTGTTGATTTTCACGTGAGCTTTGTTTACAACCGGCTGTTCATCCTATAGTTATGCGTCAACACACCGACGAACACGTCCACGATGCGTCTTTACAACGAAGCAAGCACTGCATGCATTATAATACCCACAGTTTTCATGTTTTGTCTCCTGATAAGCAAAACAGCAGTAGAGATAATCAACAGAAAATCTATTTATATAGGGCTAGGTTTTGACAGGCAAATGTGAGTCCTATTTTCTAGCGTTTTAATTGTTTATTTATTCAACAGCAGATATCCAATGTTTTATGTATACCACTTTAAAATGTTACCCCGTTGATCGAAACATTTTAGTCTACCAACACAAGCGTTTTCACTTTTTCGGAAAATAAAACTTATTTGAAATAAAACGAAAGAAAAACTGAAGCAAAACCACAGCTAAATAATCGGCTCCGCATTTATTAAATTCGTTATCTTTCGTGTGACGTTGGCTGGATATATTACTTTTTTTTATCAAACACAAAGTTCACTAAAAACGGACAAGCATTAAATACGATTACGTTTGTGGGATGAGTAAGAGACCACTCAGCTCGTGTCAAACGTTAGCTTCCAATAGATAGTGATTCTTTCCCTTACAGTGAATTATTTCCCTTGATGTCGATTTTGATTTGTTTCTCTTTCCTACAGCGTTTTGCACTCTAAACGTGTGCCCATCAAGTTTCTACTGGGCCAATAAGTGTGCGCCTACAAGCTTTCGATGACATATAACAAAACGAGTGCGTCAGACCTGTATCAAATATTTCTTAGGTGCGACACAACTCATGCTAGTCACCGTCCTAAAAACCATACCGTAACAGCGTTTGAATTACGTTGGGCCCGCTTCCGATGCATGACTCGAATAAGATCATACTTTTAGGGATCATTTCTAAAGTTGGTCTTGCCGGGACGTTGAGCAAAATTGAACGGCACGAAAACCATGATGACGAGATTCAGTCACTTCCTCTGAGCGTGAAGTTGACCTCGAGACAGTCACAGCTTGAGTGACAGTCTCAGTAGGTCTTTGATGATCGTTCCTCTCCTCCCTCAGCGGGGAGTTGGAGGAGGATGTGACAATCCGATTGGTTTCTCTCTATCAAATGTAAAGAATGGTTTATCTAGCAAATGGTGCTGCCCACCACCAAAGCTTTTTCATGCAGCAAAAAGCACATTCGCTCTCCGACGACACGTGCTAGCATACCATATAACTTGTCCGTGTAGTAGTCTACGAACCAAACGACTGGCTTCCACGGTCTGTTGATTTTCACGTGAGCTTTGTTTACAACCGGCTGTTCATCCTATAGTTATGCGTCAACACACCGACGAACACGTCCACGATGCGTCTTTACAACGAAGCAAGCACTGCATGCATTATAATACCCACAGTTTTCATGTTTTGTCTCCTGATAAGCAAAACAGCAGTAGAGATAATCAACAGAAAATCTATTTATATAGGGCTAGGTTTTGACAGGCAAATGTGAGTCCTATTTTCTAGCGTTTTAATTGTTTATTTATTCAACAGCAGATATCCAATGTTTTATGTATACCACTTTAAAATGTTACCCCGTTGATCGAAACATTTTAGTCTACCAACACAAGCGTTTTCACATTTCGGAAAATAAAACTTATTTGAAATAAAACGAAAGAAAAACTGAAGCAAAACCACAGCTAAATAATCGGCTCCGCATTTATTAAATTCGTTATCTTTCGTGAGACGTTGGCTGGATATATTACTTTTTTTTATCAAACACAAAGTTCACTAAAAACGGACAAGCATTAAATACGATTACGTTTGTGGGATGAGTAAGAGACCACTCAGCTCGTGTCAAACGTTAGCTTCCAATAGATAGTGATTCTTTCCCTTACAGTGAATTATTTCCCTTGATGTCGATTTTGATTTGTTTCTCTTTCCTACAGCGTTTTGCACTCTAAACGTGTGCCCATCAAGTTTCTACTGGGCCAATAAGTGTGCGCCTACAAGCTTTCGATGACATATAACAAAACGAGTGCGTCAGACCTGTATCAAATATTTCTTAGGTGCAACACAACTCATGCTAGTCACCGTCCTAAAAACCATACCGTAACAGCGTTTGAATTACGTTGGGCCCGCTTCCGATGCATGACGCGGATAAGATCATACTTTTAGGGATCATTTCTAAAGTTGGTCTTGCCGGGACGTTGAGCAAAATTGAACGGCACGAAAACCATGATGACGAGATTCAGTCACTTCCTCTGAGCGTGAAGTTGACCTCGAGACAGTCACAGCTTGAGTGACAGTCTCAGTAGGTCTTTGATGATCGTTCCTCTCCTCCCTCAGCGGGGAGTTGGAGGAGGATGTGACAATCCGATTGGTTTCTCTCTATCAAATGTAAAGAATGGTTTATCTAGCAAATGGTGCTGCCCACCACCAAAGCTTTTTCATGCAGCAAAAAGCACATTCGCTCTCCGACGACACGTGCTAGCATACCATATAACTTGTCCGTGTAGTAGTCTACGAACCAAACGACTGGCTTCCACGGTCTGTTGATTTTCACGTGAGCTTTGTTTACAACCGGCTGTTCATCCTATAGTTATGCGTCAACACACCGACGAACACGTCCACGATGCGTCTTTACAACGAAGCAAGCACTGCATGCATTATAATACCCACAGTTTTCATGTTTTGTCTCCTGATAAGCAAAACAGCAGTAGAGATAATCAACAGAAAATCTATTTATATAGGGCTAGGTTTTGACAGGCAAATGTGAGTCCTATTTTCTAGCGTTTTAATTGTTTATTTATTCAACAGCAGATATCCAATGTTTTATGTATACCACTTTAAAATGTTACCCCGTTGATCGAAACATTTTAGTCTACCAACACAAGCGTTTTCACATTTCGGAAAATAAAACTTATTTGAAATAAAACGAAAGAAAAACTGAAGCAAAACCACAGCTAAATAATCGGCTCCGCATTTATTAAATTCGTTATCTTTCGTGTGACGTTGGCTGGATATATTACTTTTTTTTATCAAACACAAAGTTCACTAAAAACGGACAAGCATTAAATACGATTACGTTTGTGGGATGAGTAAGAGACCACTCAGCTCGTGTCAAACGTTAGCTTCCAATAGATAGTGATTCTTTCCCTTACAGTGAATTATTTCCCTTGATGTCGATTTTGATTTGTTTCTCTTTCCTACAGCGTTTTGCACTCTAAACGTGTGCCCATCAAGTTTCTACTGGGCCAATAAGTGTGCGCCTACAAGCTTTCGATGACATATAACAAAACGAGTGCGTCAGACCTGTATCAAATATTTCTTAGGTGCGACACAACTCATGCTAGTCACCGTCCTAAAAACCATACCGTAACAGCGTTTGAATTACGTTGGGCCCGCTTCCGATGCATGACTCGAATAAGATCATACTTTTAGGGATCATTTCTAAAGTTGGTCTTGCCGGGACGTTGAGCAAAATTGAACGGCACGAAAACCATGATGACGAGATTCAGTCACTTCCTCTGAGCGTGAAGTTGACCTCGAGACAGTCACAGCTTGAGTGACAGTCTCAGTAGGTCTTTGATGATCGTTCCTCTCCTCCCTCAGCGGGGAGTTGGAGGAGGATGTGACAATCCGATTGGTTTCTCTCTATCAAATGTAAAGAATGGTTTATCTAGCAAATGGTGCTGCCCACCACCAAAGCTTTTTCATGCAGCAAAAAGCACATTCGCTCTCCGACGACACGTGCTAGCATACCATATAACTTGTCCGTGTAGTAGTCTACGAACCAAACGACTGGCTTCCACGGTCTGTTGATTTTCACGTGAGCTTTGTTTACAACCGGCTGTTCATCCTATAGTTATGCGTCAACACACCGACGAACACGTCCACGATGCGTCTTTACAACGAAGCAAGCACTGCATGCATTATAATACCCACAGTTTTCATATTTTGTCTCCTGATAAGCAAAACAGCAGTAGAGATAATCAACAGAAAATCTATTTATATAGGGCTAGGTTTTGACAGGCAAATGTGAGTCCTATTTTCTAGCGTTTTAATTGTTTATTTATTCAACAGCAGATATCCAATGTTTTATGTATACCACTTTAAAATGTTACCCCGTTGATCGAAACATTTTAGTCTACCAACACAAGCGTTTTCACATTTCGGAAAATAAAACTTATTTGAAATAAAACGAAAGAAAAACTGAAGCAAAACCACAGCTAAATAATCGGCTCCGCATTTATTAAATTCGTTATCTTTCGTGTGACGTTGGCTGGATATATTACTTTTTTTTATCAAACACAAAGTTCACTAAAAACGGACAAGCATTAAATACGATTACGTTTGTGGGATGAGTAAGAGACCACTCAGCTCGTGTCAAACGTTAGCTTCCAATAGATAGTGATTCTTTCCCTTACAGTGAATTATTTCCCTTGATGTCGATTTTGATTTGTTTCTCTTTCCTACAGCGTTTTGCACTCTAAACGTGTGCCCATCAAGTTTCTACTGGGCCAATAAGTGTGCGCCTACAAGCTTTCGATGACATATAACAAAACGAGTGCGTCAGACCTGTATCAAATATTTCTTAGGTGCGACACAACTCATGCTAGTCACCGTCCTAAAAACCATACCGTAACAGCGTTTGAATTACGTTGGGCCCGCTTCCGATGCATGACTCGAATAAGATCATACTTTTAGGGATCATTTCTAAAGTTGGTCTTGCCGGGACGTTGAGCAAAATTGAACGGCACGAAAACCGTGATGACGAGATTCAGTCACTTCCTCTGAGCGTGAAGTTGACCTCGAGACAGTCACAGCTTGAGTGACAGTCTCAGTAGGTCTTTGATGATCGTTCCTCTCCTCCCTCAGCGGGGAGTTGGAGGAGGATGTGACAATCCGATTGGTTTCTCTCTATCAAATGTAAAGAATGGTTTATCTAGCAAATGGTGCTGCCCACCACCAAAGCTTTTTCATGCAGCAAAAAGCACATTCGCTCTCCGACGACACGTGCTAGCATACCATATAACTTGTCCGTGTAGTAGTCTACGAACCAAACGACTGGCTTCCACGGTCTGTTGATTTTCACGTGAGCTTTGTTTACAACCGGCTGTTCATCCTATAGTTATGCGTCAACACACCGACGAACACGTCCACGATGCGTCTTTACAACGAAGCAAGCACTGCATGCATTATAATACCCACAGTTTTCATGTTTTGTCTCCTGATAAGCAAAACAGCAGTAGAGATAATCAACAGAAAATCTATTTATATAGGGCTAGGTTTTGACAGGCAAATGTGAGTCCTATTTTCTAGCGTTTTAATTGTTTATTTATTCAACAGCAGATATCCAATGTTTTATGTATACCACTTTAAAATGTTACCCCGTTGATCGAAACATTTTAGTCTACCAACACAAGCGTTTTCACTTTTTCGGAAAATAAAACTTATTTGAAATAAAACGAAAGAAAAACTGAAGCAAAACCACAGCTAAATAATCGGCTCCGCATTTATTAAATTCGTTATCTTTCGTGTGACGTTGGCTGGATATATTACTTTTTTTTATCAAACACAAAGTTCACTAAAAACGGACAAGCATTAAATACGATTACGTTTGTGGGATGAGTAAGAGACCACTCAGCTCGTGTCAAACGTTAGCTTCCAATAGATAGTGATTCTTTCCCTTACAGTGAATTATTTCCCTTGATGTCGATTTTGATTTGTTTCTCTTTCCTACAGCGTTTTGCACTCTAAACGTGTGCCCATCAAGTTTCTACTGGGCCAATAAGTGTGCGCCTACAAGCTTTCGATGACATATAACAAAACGAGTGCGTCAGACCTGTATCAAATATTTCTTAGGTGCGACACAACTCATGCTAGTCACCGTCCTAAAAACCATACCGTAACAGCGTTTGAATTACGTTGGGCCCGCTTCCGATGCATGACTCGAATAAGATCATACTTTTAGGGATCATTTCTAAAGTTGGTCTTGCCGGGACGTTGAGCAAAATTGAACGGCACGAAAACCATGATGACGAGATTCAGTCACTTCCTCTGAGCGTGAAGTTGACCTCGAGACAGTCACAGCTTGAGTGACAGTCTCAGTAGGTCTTTGATGATCGTTCCTCTCCTCCCTCAGCGGGGAGTTGGAGGAGGATGTGACAATCCGATTGGTTTCTCTCTATCAAATGTAAAGAATGGTTTATCTAGCAAATGGTGCTGCCCACCACCAAAGCTTTTTCATGCAGCAAAAAGCACATTCGCTCTCCGACGACACGTGCTAGCATACCATATAACTTGTCCGTGTAGTAGTCTACGAACCAAACGACTGGCTTCCACGGTCTGTTGATTTTCACGTGAGCTTTGTTTACAACCGGCTGTTCATCCTATAGTTATGCGTCAACACACCGACGAACACGTCCACGATGCGTCTTTACAACGAAGCAAGCACTGCATGCATTATAATACCCACAGTTTTCATGTTTTGTCTCCTGATAAGCAAAACAGCAGTAGAGATAATCAACAGAAAATCTATTTATATAGGGCTAGGTTTTGACAGGCAAATGTGAGTCCTATTTTCTAGCGTTTTAATTGTTTATTTATTCAACAGCAGATATCCAATGTTTTATGTATACCACTTTAAAATGTTACCCCGTTGATCGAAACATTTTAGTCTACCAACACAAGCGTTTTCACTTTTTCGGAAAATAAAACTTATTTGAAATAAAACGAAAGAAAAACTGAAGCAAAACCACAGCTAAATAATCGGCTCCGCATTTATTAAATTCGTTATCTTTCGTGTGACGTTGGCTGGATATATTACTTTTTTTTATCAAACACAAAGTTCACTAAAAACGGACAAGCATTAAATACGATTACGTTTGTGGGATGAGTAAGAGACCACTCAGCTCGTGTCAAACGTTAGCTTCCAATAGATAGTGATTCTTTCCCTTACAGTGAATTATTTCCCTTGATGTCGATTTTGATTTGTTTCTCTTTCCTACAGCGTTTTGCACTCTAAACGTGTGCCCATCAAGTTTCTACTGGGCCAATAAGTGTGCGCCTACAAGCTTTCGATGACATATAACAAAACGAGTGCGTCAGACCTGTATCAAATATTTCTTAGGTGCGACACAACTCATGCTAGTCACCGTCCTAAAAACCATACCGTAACAGCGTTTGAATTACGTTGGGCCCGCTTCCGATGCATGACTCGAATAAGATCATACTTTTAGGGATCATTTCTAAAGTTGGTCTTGCCGGGACGTTGAGCAAAATTGAACGGCACGAAAACCATGATGACGAGATTCAGTCACTTCCTCTGAGCGTGAAGTTGACCTCGAGACAGTCACAGCTTGAGTGACAGTCTCAGTAGGTCTTTGATGATCGTTCCTCTCCTCCCTCAGCGGGGAGTTGGAGGAGGATGTGACAATCCGATTGGTTTCTCTCTATCAAATGTAAAGAATGGTTTATCTAGCAAATGGTGCTGCCCACCACCAAAGCTTTTTCATGCAGCAAAAAGCACATTCGCTCTCCGACGACACGTGCTAGCATACCATATAACTTGTCCGTGTAGTAGTCTACGAACCAAACGACTGGCTTCCACGGTCTGTTGATTTTCACGTGAGCTTTGTTTACAACCGGCTGTTCATCCTATAGTTATGCGTCAACACACCGACGAACACGTCCACGATGCGTCTTTACAACGAAGCAAGCACTGCATGCATTATAATACCCACAGTTTTCATGTTTTGTCTCCTGATAAGCAAAACAGCAGTAGAGATAATCAACAGAAAATCTATTTATATAGGGCTAGGTTTTGACAGGCAAATGTGAGTCCTATTTTCTAGCGTTTTAATTGTTTATTTATTCAACAGCAGATATCCAATGTTTTATGTATACCACTTTAAAATGTTACCCCGTTGATCGAAACATTTTAGTCTACCAACACAAGCGTTTTCACATTTCGGAAAATAAAACTTATTTGAAATAAAACGAAAGAAAAACTGAAGCAAAACCACAGCTAAATAATCGGCTCCGCATTTATTAAATTCGTTATCTTTCGTGTGACGTTGGCTGGATATATTACTTTTTTTTATCAAACACAAAGTTCACTAAAAACGGACAAGCATTAAATACGATTACGTTTGTGGGATGAGTAAGAGACCACTCAGCTCGTGTCAAACGTTAGCTTCCAATAGATAGTGATTCTTTCCCTTACAGTGAATTATTTCCCTTGATGTCGATTTTGATTTGTTTCTCTTTCCTACAGCGTTTTGCACTCTAAACGTGTGCCCATCAAGTTTCTACTGGGCCAATAAGTGTGCGCCTACAAGCTTTCGATGACATATAACAAAACGAGTGCGTCAGACCTGTATCAAATATTTCTTAGGTGCGACACAACTCATGCTAGTCACCGTCCTAAAAACCATACCGTAACAGCGTTTGAATTACGTTGGGCCCGCTTCCGATGCATGACTCGAATAAGATCATACTTTTAGGGATCATTTCTAAAGTTGGTCTTGCCGGGACGTTGAGCAAAATTGAACGGCACGAAAACCATGATGACGAGATTCAGTCACTTCCTCTGAGCGTGAAGTTGACCTCGAGACAGTCACAGCTTGAGTGACAGTCTCAGTAGGTCTTTGATGATCGTTCCTCTCCTCCCTCAGCGGGGAGTTGGAGGAGGATGTGACAATCCGATTGGTTTCTCTCTATCAAATGTAAAGAATGGTTTATCTAGCAAATGGTGCTGCCCACCACCAAAGCTTTTTCATGCAGCAAAAAGCACATTCGCTCTCCGACGACACGTGCTAGCATACCATATAACTTGTCCGTGTAGTAGTCTACGAACCAAACGACTGGCTTCCACGGTCTGTTGATTTTCACGTGAGCTTTGTTTACAACCGGCTGTTCATCCTATAGTTATGCGTCAACACACCGACGAACACGTCCACGATGCGTCTTTACAACGAAGCAAGCACTGCATGCATTATAATACCCACAGTTTTCATGTTTTGTCTCCTGATAAGCAAAACAGCAGTAGAGATAATCAACAGAAAATCTATTTATATAGGGCTAGGTTTTGACAGGCAAATGTGAGTCCTATTTTCTAGCGTTTTAATTGTTTATTTATTCAACAGCAGATATCCAATGTTTTATGTATACCACTTTAAAATGTTACCCCGTTGATCGAAACATTTTAGTCTACCAACACAAGCGTTTTCACATTTCGGAAAATAAAACTTATTTGAAATAAAACGAAAGAAAAACTGAAGCAAAACCACAGCTAAATAATCGGCTCCGCATTTATTAAATTCGTTATCTTTCGTGAGACGTTGGCTGGATATATTACTTTTTTTTATCAAACACAAAGTTCACTAAAAACGGACAAGCATTAAATACGATTACGTTTGTGGGATGAGTAAGAGACCACTCAGCTCGTGTCAAACGTTAGCTTCCAATAGATAGTGATTCTTTCCCTTACAGTGAATTATTTCCCTTGATGTCGATTTTGATTTGTTTCTCTTTCCTACAGCGTTTTGCACTCTAAACGTGTGCCCATCAAGTTTCTACTGGGCCAATAAGTGTGCGCCTACAAGCTTTCGATGACATATAACAAAACGAGTGCGTCAGACCTGTATCAAATATTTCTTAGGTGCAACACAACTCATGCTAGTCACCGTCCTAAAAACCATACCGTAACAGCGTTTGAATTACGTTGGGCCCGCTTCCGATGCATGACGCGGATAAGATCATACTTTTAGGGATCATTTCTAAAGTTGGTCTTGCCGGGACGTTGAGCAAAATTGAACGGCACGAAAACCATGATGACGAGATTCAGTCACTTCCTCTGAGCGTGAAGTTGACCTCGAGACAGTCACAGCTTGAGTGACAGTCTCAGTAGGTCTTTGATGATCGTTCCTCTCCTCCCTCAGCGGGGAGTTGGAGGAGGATGTGACAATCCGATTGGTTTCTCTCTATCAAATGTAAAGAATGGTTTATCTAGCAAATGGTGCTGCCCACCACCAAAGCTTTTTCATGCAGCAAAAAGCACATTCGCTCTCCGACGACACGTGCTAGCATACCATATAACTTGTCCGTGTAGTAGTCTACGAACCAAACGACTGGCTTCCACGGTCTGTTGATTTTCACGTGAGCTTTGTTTACAACCGGCTGTTCATCCTATAGTTATGCGTCAACACACCGACGAACACGTCCACGATGCGTCTTTACAACGAAGCAAGCACTGCATGCATTATAATACCCACAGTTTTCATGTTTTGTCTCCTGATAAGCAAAACAGCAGTAGAGATAATCAACAGAAAATCTATTTATATAGGGCTAGGTTTTGACAGGCAAATGTGAGTCCTATTTTCTAGCGTTTTAATTGTTTATTTATTCAACAGCAGATATCCAATGTTTTATGTATACCACTTTAAAATGTTACCCCGTTGATCGAAACATTTTAGTCTACCAACACAAGCGTTTTCACATTTTCGGAAAATAAAACTTATTTGAAATAAAACGAAAGAAAAACTGAAGCAAAACCACAGCTAAATAATCGGCTCCGCATTTATTAAATTCGTTATCTTTCGTGTGACGTTGGCTGGATATATTACTTTTTTTTATCAAACACAAAGTTCACTAAAAACGGACAAGCATTAAATACGATTACGTTTGTGGGATGAGTAAGAGACCACTCAGCTCGTGTCAAACGTTAGCTTCCAATAGATAGTGATTCTTTCCCTTACAGTGAATTATTTCCCTTGATGTCGATTTTGATTTGTTTCTCTTTCCTACAGCGTTTTGCACTCTAAACGTGTGCCCATCAAGTTTCTACTGGGCCAATAAGTGTGCGCCTACAAGCTTTCGATGACATATAACAAAACGAGTGCGTCAGACCTGTATCAAATATTTCTTAGGTGCGACACAACTCATGCTAGTCACCGTCCTAAAAACCATACCGTAACAGCGTTTGAATTACGTTGGGCCCGCTTCCGATGCATGACTCGAATAAGATCATACTTTTAGGGATCATTTCTAAAGTTGGTCTTGCCGGGACGTTGAGCAAAATTGAACGGCACGAAAACCATGATGACGAGATTCAGTCACTTCCTCTGAGCGTGAAGTTGACCTCGAGACAGTCACAGCTTGAGTGACGGTCTCAGTAGGTCTTTGATGATCGTTCCTCTCCTCCCTCAGCGGGGAGTTGGAGGAGGATGTGACAATCCGATTGGTTTCTCTCTATCAAATGTAAAGAATGGTTTATCTAGCAAATGGTGCTGCCCACCACCAAAGCTTTTTCATGCAGCAAAAAGCACATTCGCTCTCCGACGACACGTGCTAGCATACCATATAACTTGTCCGTGTAGTAGTCTACGAACCAAACGACTGGCTTCCACGGTCTGTTGATTTTCACGTGAGCTTTGTTTACAACCGGCTGTTCATCCTATAGTTATGCGTCAACACACCGACGAACACGTCCACGATGCGTCTTTACAACGAAGCAAGCACTGCATGCATTATAATACCCACAGTTTTCATGTTTTGTCTCCTGATAAGCAAAACAGCAGTAGAGATAATCAACAGAAAATCTATTTATATAGGGCTAGGTTTTGACAGGCAAATGTGAGTCCTATTTTCTAGCGTTTTAATTGTTTATTTATTCAACAGCAGATATCCAATGTTTTATGTATACCACTTTAAAATGTTACCCCGTTGATCGAAACATTTTAGTCTACCAACACAAGCGTTTTCACATTTCGGAAAATAAAACTTATTTGAAATAAAACGAAAGAAAAACTGAAGCAAAACCACAGCTAAATAATCGGCTCCGCATTTATTAAATTCGTTATCTTTCGTGTGACGTTGGCTGGATATATTACTTTTTTTTATCAAACACAAAGTTCACTAAAAACGGACAAGCATTAAATACGATTACGTTTGTGGGATGAGTAAGAGACCACTCAGCTCGTGTCAAACGTTAGCTTCCAATAGATAGTGATTCTTTCCCTTACAGTGAATTATTTCCCTTGATGTCGATTTTGATTTGTTTCTCTTTCCTACAGCGTTTTGCACTCTAAACGTGTGCCCATCAAGTTTCTACTGGGCCAATAAGTGTGCGCCTACAAGCTTTCGATGACATATAACAAAACGAGTGCGTCAGACCTGTATCAAATATTTCTTAGGTGCGACACAACTCATGCTAGTCACCGTCCTAAAAACCATACCGTAACAGCGTTTGAATTACGTTGGGCCCGCTTCCGATGCATGACTCGAATAAGATCATACTTTTAGGGATCATTTCTAAAGTTGGTCTTGCCGGGACGTTGAGCAAAATTGAACGGCACGAAAACCATGATGACGAGATTCAGTCACTTCCTCTGAGCGTGAAGTTGACCTCGAGACAGTCACAGCTTGAGTGACAGTCTCAGTAGGTCTTTGATGATCGTTCCTCTCCTCCCTCAGCGGGGAGTTGGAGGAGGATGTGACAATCCGATTGGTTTCTCTCTATCAAATGTAAAGAATGGTTTATCTAGCAAATGGTGCTGCCCACCACCAAAGCTTTTTCATGCAGCAAAAAGCACATTCGCTCTCCGACGACACGTGCTAGCATACCATATAACTTGTCCGTGTAGTAGTCTACGAACCAAACGACTGGCTTCCACGGTCTGTTGATTTTCACGTGAGCTTTGTTTACAACCGGCTGTTCATCCTATAGTTATGCGTCAACACACCGACGAACACGTCCACGATGCGTCTTTACAACGAAGCAAGCACTGCATGCATTATAATACCCACAGTTTTCATGTTTTGTCTCCTGATAAGCAAAACAGCAGTAGAGATAATCAACAGAAAATCTATTTATATAGGGCTAGGTTTTGACAGGCAAATGTGAGTCCTATTTTCTAGCGTTTTAATTGTTTATTTATTCAACAGCAGATATCCAATGTTTTATGTATACCACTTTAAAATGTTACCCCGTTGATCGAAACATTTTAGTCTACCAACACAAGCGTTTTCACATTTCGGAAAATAAAACTTATTTGAAATAAAACGAAAGAAAAACTGAAGCAAAACCACAGCTAAATAATCGGCTCCGCATTTATTAAATTCGTTATCTTTCGTGTGACGTTGGCTGGATATATTACTTTTTTTTATCAAACACAAAGTTCACTAAAAACGGACAAGCATTAAATACGATTACGTTTGTGGGATGAGTAAGAGACCACTCAGCTCGTGTCAAACGTTAGCTTCCAATAGATAGTGATTCTTTCCCTTACAGTGAATTATTTCCCTTGATGTCGATTTTGATTTGTTTCTCTTTCCTACAGCGTTTTGCACTCTAAACGTGTGCCCATCAAGTTTCTACTGGGCCAATAAGTGTGCGCCTACAAGCTTTCGATGACATATAACAAAACGAGTGCGTCAGACCTGTATCAAATATTTCTTAGGTGCGACACAACTCATGCTAGTCACCGTCCTAAAAACCATACCGTAACAGCGTTTGAATTACGTTGGGCCCGCTTCCGATGCATGACTCGAATAAGATCATACTTTTAGGGATCATTTCTAAAGTTGGTCTTGCCGGGACGTTGAGCAAAATTGAACGGCACGAAAACCATGATGACGAGATTCAGTCACTTCCTCTGAGCGTGAAGTTGACCTCGAGACAGTCACAGCTTGAGTGACAGTCTCAGTAGGTCTTTGATGATCGTTCCTCTCCTCCCTCAGCGGGGAGTTGGAGGAGGATGTGACAATCCGATTGGTTTCTCTAGCAAATGGTGCTGCCCACCACCAAAGCTTTTTCATGCAGCAAAAAGCACATTCGCTCTCCGACGACACGTGCTAGCATACCATATAACTTGTCCGTGTAGTAGTCTACGAACCAAACGACTGGCTTCCACGGTCTGTTGATTTTCACGTGAGCTTTGTTTACAACCGGCTGTTCATCCTATAGTTATGCGTCAACACACCGACGGACACGTCCACGATGCGTCTTTACAACGAAGCAAGCACTGCATGCATTATAATACCCACAGTTTTCATGTTTTGTCTCCTGATAAGCAAAACAGCAGTAGAGATAATCAACAGAAAATCTATTTATATAGGGCTAGGTTTTGACAGGCAAATGTGAGTCCTATTTTCTAGCGTTTTAATTGTTTATTTATTCAACAGCAGATATCCAATGTTTTATGTATACCACTTTAAAATGTTACCCCGTTGATCGAAACATTTTAGTCTACCAACACAAGCGTTTTCACATTTCGGAAAATAAAACTTATTTGAAATAAAACGAAAGAAAAACTGAAGCAAAACCACAGCTAAATAATCGGCTCCGCATTTATTAAATTCGTTATCTTTCGTGTGACGTTGGCTGGATATATTACTTTTTTTTATCAAACACAAAGTTCACTAAAAACGGACAAGCATTAAATACGATTACGTTTGTGGGATGAGTAAGAGACCACTCAGCTCGTGTCAAACGTTAGCTTCCAATAGATAGTGATTCTTTCCCTTACAGTGAATTATTTCCCTTGATGTCGATTTTGATTTGTTTCTCTTTCCTACAGCGTTTTGCACTCTAAACGTGTGCCCATCAAGTTTCTACTGGGCCAATAAGTGTGCGCCTACAAGCTTTCGATGACATATAACAAAACGAGTGCGTCAGACCTGTATCAAATATTTCTTAGGTGCGACACAACTCATGCTAGTCACCGTCCTAAAAACCATACCGTAACAGCGTTTGAATTACGTTGGGCCCGCTTCCGATGCATGACTCGAATAAGATCATACTTTTAGGGATCATTTCTAAAGTTGGTCTTGCCGGGACGTTGAGCAAAATTGAACGGCACGAAAACCATGATGACGAGATTCAGTCACTTCCTCTGAGCGTGAAGTTGACCTCGAGACAGTCACAGCTTGAGTGACAGTCTCAGTAGGTCTTTGATGATCGTTCCTCTCCTCCCTCAGCGGGGAGTTGGAGGAGGATGTGACAATCCGATTGGTTTCTCTCTATCAAATGTAAAGAATGGTTTATCTAGCAAATGGTGCTGCCCACCACCAAAGCTTTTTCATGCAGCAAAAAGCACATTCGCTCTCCGACGACACGTGCTAGCATACCATATAACTTGTCCGTGTAGTAGTCTACGAACCAAACGACTGGCTTCCACGGTCTGTTGATTTTCACGTGAGCTTTGTTTACAACCGGCTGTTCATCCTATAGTTATGCGTCAACACACCGACGAACACGTCCACGATGCGTCTTTACAACGAAGCAAGCACTGCATGCATTATAATACCCACAGTTTTCATGTTTTGTCTCCTGATAAGCAAAACAGCAGTAGAGATAATCAACAGAAAATCTATTTATATAGGGCTAGGTTTTGACAGGCAAATGTGAGTCCTATTTTCTAGCGTTTTAATTGTTTATTTATTCAACAGCAGATATCCAATGTTTTATGTATACCACTTTAAAATGTTACCCCGTTGATCGAAACATTTTAGTCTACCAACACAAGCGTTTTCACATTTCGGAAAATAAAACTTATTTGAAATAAAACGAAAGAAAAACTGAAGCCAAACGACAGCTAAATAATCGGCTCCGCATTTATTAAATTCGTTATCCTTCTCGTGACGTTGGCTGGATATATTACTTTTTTTTTATCAAACACAAAGTTCACTAAAAACGGACAAGCATTAAATACAATTACGTTTGTGGGATGAGTAAGAGACCACTCAGCTCGTGTCAAACGTTAGCTTCCAATAGATAGTGATTCTTTCCCTTACAGTGAATTATTTCCCTTGATGTCGATTTTGATTTGTTTCTCTTTCCTACAGCGTTTTGCACTCTAAACGTGTGCCCATCAACTTTCTACTGGGCCAATAAGTGTGCGCCTACAAGCTTTCGATGACATATAACAAAACGAGTGCGTCAGACCTGTATCAAATATTTCTTAGGTGCGACACAACTCATGCTAGTCACCGTCCTAAAAACCATACCGTAACAGCGTTTGAATTACGTTGGGCCCGCTTCCGATGCATGACTCGAATAAGATCATACTTTTAGGGATCATTTCTAAAGTTGGTCTTGCCGGGACGTTGAGCAAAATTGAACGGCACGAAAACCATGATGACGAGATTCAGTCTCTTCCTCTGAGCGTGAAGTTGACCTCGAGACAGTCACAGCTTGAGTGACAGTCTCAGTAGGTCTTTGATGATCGTTCCTCTCCTCCCTCAGCGGGGAGTTGGAGGAGGATGTGACAATCCGATTGGTTTCTCTCTATCAAAAGTAAAGAATGGTTTATCTAGCAAATGGTGCTGCCCACCACCAAAGCTTTTTCATGCAGCAAAAAGCACATTCGCTCTCCGACGACACGTGCTAGCATACCATATAACTTGTCCGTGTAGTAGTCTACGAACCAAACGACTGGCTTCCACGGTCTGTTGATTTTCACGTGAGCTTTGTTTACAACCGGCTGTTCATCCTATAGTTATGCGTCAACACACCGACGAACACGTCCACGATGCGTCTTTACAACGAAGCAAGCACTGCATGCATTATAATACCCACAGTTTTCATGTTTTGTCTCCTGATAAGCAAAACAGCAGTAGAGATAATCAACAGAAAATCTATTTATATAGGGCTAGGTTTTGACAGGCAAATGTGAGTCCTATTTTCTAGCGTTTTAATTGTTTATTTATTCAACAGCAGATATCCAATGTTTTATGTATACCACTTTAAAATGTTACCCCGTTGATCGAAACATTTTAGTCTACCAACACAAGCGTTTTCACATTTCGGAAAATAAAACTTATTTGAAATAAAACGAAAGAAAAACTGAAGCAAAACCACAGCTAAATAATCGGCTCCGCATTTATTAAATTCGTTATCTTTCGTGAGACGTTGGCTGGATATATTACTTTTTTTTATCAAACACAAAGTTCACTAAAAACGGACAAGCATTAAATACGATTACGTTTGTGGGATGAGTAAGAGACCACTCAGCTCGTGTCAAACGTTAGCTTCCAATAGATAGTGATTCTTTCCCTTACAGTGAATTATTTCCCTTGATGTCGATTTTGATTTGTTTCTCTTTCCTACAGCGTTTTGCACTCTAAACGTGTGCCCATCAAGTTTCTACTGGGCCAATAAGTGTGCGCCTACAAGCTTTCGATGACATATAACAAAACGAGTGCGTCAGACCTGTATCAAATATTTCTTAGGTGCGACACAACTCATGCTAGTCACCGTCCTAAAAACCATACCGTAACAGCGTTTGAATTACGTTGGGCCCGCTTCCGATGCATGACTCGAATAAGATCATACTTTTAGGGATCATTTCTAAAGTTGGTCTTGCCGGGACGTTGAGCAAAATTGAACGGCACGAAAACCATGATGACGAGATTCAGTCTCTTCCTCTGAGCGTGAAGTTGACCTCGAGACAGTCACAGCTTGAGTGACAGTCTCAGTAGGTCTTTGATGATCGTTCCTCTCCTCCCTCAGCGGGGAGTTGGAGGAGGATGTGACAATCCGATTGGTTTCTCTAGCAAATGGTGCTGCCCACCACCAAAGCTTTTTCATGCAGCAAAAAGCACATTCGCTCTCCGACGACACGTGCTAGCATACCATATAACTTGTCCGTGTAGTAGTCTACGAACCAAACGACTGGCTTCCACGGTCTGTTGATTTTCACGTGAGCTTTGTTTACAACCGGCTGTTCATCCTATAGTTATGCGTCAACACACCGACGAACACGTCCACGATGCGTCTTTACAACGAAGCAAGCACTGCATGCATTATAATACCCACAGTTTTCATGTTTTGTCTCCTGATAAGCAAAACAGCAGTAGAGATAATCAACAGAAAATCTATTTATATAGGGCTAGGTTTTGACAGGCAAATGTGAGTCCTATTTTCTAGCGTTTTAATTGTTTATTTATTCAACAGCAGATATCCAATGTTTTATGTATACCACTTTAAAATGTTACCCCGTTGATCGAAACATTTTAGTCTACCAACACAAGCGTTTTCACTTTTTCGGAAAATAAAACTTATTTGAAATAAAACGAAAGAAAAACTGAAGCAAAACCACAGCTAAATAATCGGCTCCGCATTTATTAAATTCGTTATCTTTCGTGTGACGTTGGCTGGATATATTACTTTTTTTTATCAAACACAAAGTTCACTAAAAACGGACAAGCATTAAATACGATTACGTTTGTGGGATGAGTAAGAGACCACTCAGCTCGTGTCAAACGTTAGCTTCCAATAGATAGTGATTCTTTCCCTTACAGTGAATTATTTCCCTTGATGTCGATTTTGATTTGTTTCTCTTTCCTACAGCGTTTTGCACTCTAAACGTGTGCCCATCAAGTTTCTACTGGGCCAATAAGTGTGCGCCTACAAGCTTTCGATGACATATAACAAAACGAGTGCGTCAGACCTGTATCAAATATTTCTTAGGTGCGACACAACTCATGCTAGTCACCGTCCTAAAAACCATACCGTAACAGCGTTTGAATTACGTTGGGCCCGCTTCCGATGCATGACTCGAATAAGATCATACTTTTAGGGATCATTTCTAAAGTTGGTCTTGCCGGGACGTTGAGCAAAATTGAACGGCACGAAAACCATGATGACGAGATTCAGTCACTTCCTCTGAGCGTGAAGTTGACCTCGAGACAGTCACAGCTTGAGTGACAGTCTCAGTAGGTCTTTGATGATCGTTCCTCTCCTCCCACAGCGGGGAGTTGGAGGAGGATGTGACAATCCGATTGGTTTCTCTCTATCAAATGTAAAGAATGGTTTATCTAGCAAATGGTGCTGCCCACCACCAAAGCTTTTTCATGCAGCAAAAAGCACATTCGCTCTCCGACGACACGTGCTAGCATACCATATAACTTGTCCGTGTAGTAGTCTACGAACCAAACGACTGGCTTCCACGGTCTGTTGATTTTCACGTGAGCTTTGTTTACAACCGGCTGTTCATCCTATAGTTATGCGTCAACACACCGACGAACACGTCCACGATGCGTCTTTACAACGAAGCAAGCACTGCATGCATTATAATACCCACAGTTTTCATGTTTTGTCTCCTGATAAGCAAAACAGCAGTAGAGATAATCAACAGAAAATCTATTTATATAGGGCTAGGTTTTGACAGGCAAATGTGAGTCCTATTTTCTAGCGTTTTAATTGTTTATTTATTCAACAGCAGATATCCAATGTTTTATGTATACCACTTTAAAATGTTACCCCGTTGATCGAAACATTTTAGTCTACCAACACAAGCGTTTTCACTTTTTCGGAAAATAAAACTTATTTGAAATAAAACGAAAGAAAAACTGAAGCAAAACCACAGCTAAATAATCGGCTCCGCATTTATTAAATTCGTTATCTTTCGTGTGACGTTGGCTGGATATATTACTTTTTTTTATCAAACACAAAGTTCACTAAAAACGGACAAGCATTAAATACGATTACGTTTGTGGGATGAGTAAGAGACCACTCAGCTCGTGTCAAACGTTAGCTTCCAATAGATAGTGATTCTTTCCCTTACAGTGAATTATTTCCCTTGATGTCGATTTTGATTTGTTTCTCTTTCCTACAGCGTTTTGCACTCTAAACGTGTGCCCATCAAGTTTCTACTGGGCCAATAAGTGTGCGCCTACAAGCTTTCGATGACATATAACAAAACGAGTGCGTCAGACCTGTATCAAATATTTCTTAGGTGCGACACAACTCATGCTAGTCACCGTCCTAAAAACCATACCGTAACAGCGTTTGAATTACGTTGGGCCCGCTTCCGATGCATGACTCGAATAAGATCATACTTTTAGGGATCATTTCTAAAGTTGGTCTTGCCGGGACGTTGAGCAAAATTGAACGGCACGAAAACCGTGATGACGAGATTCAGTCACTTCCTCTGAGCGTGAAGTTGACCTCGAGACAGTCACAGCTTGAGTGACAGTCTCAGTAGGTCTTTGATGATCGTTCCTCTCCTCCCTCAGCGGGGAGTTGGAGGAGGATGTGACAATCCGATTGGTTTCTCTCTATCAAATGTAAAGAATGGTTTATCTAGCAAATGGTGCTGCCCACCACCAAAGCTTTTTCATGCAGCAAAAAGCACATTCGCTCTCCGACGACACGTGCTAGCATACCATATAACTTGTCCGTGTAGTAGTCTACGAACCAAACGACTGGCTTCCACGGTCTGTTGATTTTCACGTGAGCTTTGTTTACAACCGGCTGTTCATCCTATAGTTATGCGTCAACACACCGACGAACACGTCCACGATGCGTCTTTACAACGAAGCAAGCACTGCATGCATTATAATACCCACAGTTTTCATGTTTTGTCTCCTGATAAGCAAAACAGCAGTAGAGATAATCAACAGAAAATCTATTTATATAGGGCTAGGTTTTGACAGGCAAATGTGAGTCCTATTTTCTAGCGTTTTAATTGTTTATTTATTCAACAGCAGATATCCAATGTTTTATGTATACCACTTTAAAATGTTACCCCGTTGATCGAAACATTTTAGTCTACCAACACAAGCGTTTTCACTTTTTCGGAAAATAAAACTTATTTGAAATAAAACGAAAGAAAAACTGAAGCAAAACCACAGCTAAATAATCGGCTCCGCATTTATTAAATTCGTTATCTTTCGTGTGACGTTGGCTGGATATATTACTTTTTTTTATCAAACACAAAGTTCACTAAAAACGGACAAGCATTAAATACGATTACGTTTGTGGGATGAGTAAGAGACCACTCAGCTCGTGTCAAACGTTAGCTTCCAATAGATAGTGATTCTTTCCCTTACAGTGAATTATTTCCCTTGATGTCGATTTTGATTTGTTTCTCTTTCCTACAGCGTTTTGCACTCTAAACGTGTGCCCATCAAGTTTCTACTGGGCCAATAAGTGTGCGCCTACAAGCTTTCGATGACATATAACAAAACGAGTGCGTCAGACCTGTATCAAATATTTCTTAGGTGCGACACAACTCATGCTAGTCACCGTCCTAAAAACCATACCGTAACAGCGTTTGAATTACGTTGGGCCCGCTTCCGATGCATGACTCGAATAAGATCATACTTTTAGGGATCATTTCTAAAGTTGGTCTTGCCGGGACGTTGAGCAAAATTGAACGGCACGAAAACCGTGATGACGAGATTCAGTCACTTCCTCTGAGCGTGAAGTTGACCTCGAGACAGTCACAGCTTGAGTGACAGTCTCAGTAGGTCTTTGATGATCGTTCCTCTCCTCCCTCAGCGGGGAGTTGGAGGAGGATGTGACAATCCGATTGGTTTCTCTCTATCAAATGTAAAGAATGGTTTATCTAGCAAATGGTGCTGCCCACCACCAAAGCTTTTTCATGCAGCAAAAAGCACATTCGCTCTCCGACGACACGTGCTAGCATACCATATAACTTGTCCGTGTAGTAGTCTACGAACCAAACGACTGGCTTCCACGGTCTGTTGATTTTCACGTGAGCTTTGTTTACAACCGGCTGTTCATCCTATAGTTATGCGTCAACACACCGACGAACACGTCCACGATGCGTCTTTACAACGAAGCAAGCACTGCATGCATTATAATACCCACAGTTTTCATGTTTTGTCTCCTGATAAGCAAAACAGCAGTAGAGATAATCAACAGAAAATCTATTTATATAGGGCTAGGTTTTGACAGGCAAATGTGAGTCCTATTTTCTAGCGTTTTAATTGTTTATTTATTCAACAGCAGATATCCAATGTTTTATGTATACCACTTTAAAATGTTACCCCGTTGATCGAAACATTTTAGTCTACCAACACAAGCGTTTTCACTTTTTCGGAAAATAAAACTTATTTGAAATAAAACGAAAGAAAAACTGAAGCAAAACCACAGCTAAATAATCGGCTCCGCATTTATTAAATTCGTTATCTTTCGTGTGACGTTGGCTGGATATATTACTTTTTTTTATCAAACACAAAGTTCACTAAAAACGGACAAGCATTAAATACGATTACGTTTGTGGGATGAGTAAGAGACCACTCAGCTCGTGTCAAACGTTAGCTTCCAATAGATAGTGATTCTTTCCCTTACAGTGAATCATTTCCCTTGATGTCGATTTTGATTTGTTTCTCTTTCCTACAGCGTTTTGCACTCTAAACGTGTGCCCATCAACTTTCTACTGGGCCAATAAGTGTGCGCCTACAAGCTTTCGATGACATATAACAAAACGAGTGCGTCAGACCTGTATCAAATATTTCTTAGGTGCGACACAACTCATGCTAGTCACCGTCCTAAAAACCATACCGTAACAGCGTTTGAATTACGTTGGGCCCGCTTCCGATGCATGACTCGAATAAGATCATACTTTTAGGGATCATTTCTAAAGTTGGTCTTGCCGGGACGTTGAGCAAAATTGAACGGCACGAAAACCATGATGACGAGATTCAGTCACTTCCTCTGAGCGTGAAGTTGACCTCGAGACAGTCACAGCTTGAGTGACAGTCTCAGTAGGTCTTTGATGATCGTTCCTCTCCTCCCTCAGCGGGGAGTTGGAGGAGGATGTGACAATCCGATTGGTTTCTATCTATCAAATGTAAAGAATGGTTTATCTAGCAAATGGTGCTGCCCACCACCAAAGCTTTTTCATGCAGCAAAAAGCACATTCGCTCTCCGACGACACGTGCTAGCATACCATATAACTTGTCCGTGTAGTAGTCTACGAACCAAACGACTGGCTTCCACGGTCTGTTGATTTTCACGTGAGCTTTGTTTACAACCGGCTGTTCATCCTATAGTTATGCGTCAACACACCGACGAACACGTCCACGATGCGTCTTTACAACGAAGCAAGCACTGCATGCATTATAATACCCACAGTTTTCATGTTTTGTCTCCTGATAAGCAAAACAGCAGTAGAGATAATCAACAGAAAATCTATTTATATAGGGCTAGGTTTTGACAGGCAAATGTGAGTCCTATTTTCTAGCGTTTTAATTGTTTATTTATTCAACAGCAGATATCCAATGTTTTATGTATACCACTTTAAAATGTTACCCCGTTGATCGAAACATTTTAGTCTACCAACACAAGCGTTTTCACATTTCGGAAAATAAAACTTATTTGAAATAAAACGAAAGAAAAACTGAAGCAAAACCACAGCTAAATAATCGGCTCCGCATTTATTAAATTCGTTATCTTTCGTGTGACGTTGGCTGGATATATTACTTTTTTTTATCAAACACAAAGTTCACTAAAAACGGACAAGCATTAAATACGATTACGTTTGTGGGATGAGTAAGAGACCACTCAGCTCGTGTCAAACGTTAGCTTCCAATAGATAGTGATTCTTTCCCTTACAGTGAATTATTTCCCTTGATGTCGATTTTGATTTGTTTCTCTTTCCTACAGCGTTTTGCACTCTAAACGTGTGCCCATCAAGTTTCTACTGGGCCAATAAGTGTGCGCCTACAAGCTTTCGATGACATATAACAAAACGAGTGCGTCAGACCTGTATCAAATATTTCTTAGGTGCGACACAACTCATGCTAGTCACCGTCCTAAAAACCATACCGTAACAGCGTTTGAATTACGTTGGGCCCGCTTCCGATGCATGACTCGAATAAGATCATACTTTTAGGGATCATTTCTAAAGTTGGTCTTGCCGGGACGTTGAGCAAAATTGAACGGCACGAAAACCATGATGACGAGATTCAGTCACTTCCTCTGAGCGTGAAGTTGACCTCGAGACAGTCACAGCTTGAGTGACAGTCTCAGTAGGTCTTTGATGATCGTTCCTCTCCTCCCTCAGCGGGGAGTTGGAGGAGGATGTGACAATCCGATTGGTTTCTCTCTATCATATGTAAAGAATGGTTTATCTAGCAAATGGTGCTGCCCACCACCAAAGCTTTTTCATGCAGCAAAAAGCACATTCGCTCTCCGACGACACGTGCTAGCATACCATATAACTTGTCCGTGTAGTAGTCTACGAACCAAACGACTGGCTTCCACGGTCTGTTGATTTTCACGTGAGCTTTGTTTACAACCGGCTGTTCATCCTATAGTTATGCGTCAACACACCGACGAACACGTCCACGATGCGTCTTTACAACGAAGCAAGCACTGCATGCATTATAATACCCACAGTTTTCATGTTTTGTCTCCTGATAAGCAAAACAGCAGTAGAGATAATCAACAGAAAATCTATTTATATAGGGCTAGGTTTTGACAGGCAAATGTGAGTCCTATTTTCTAGCGTTTTAATTGTTTATTTATTCAACAGCAGATATCCAATGTTTTATGTATACCACTTTAAAATGTTACCCCGTTGATCGAAACATTTTAGTCTACCAACACAAGCGTTTTCACATTTCGGAAAATAAAACTTATTTGAAATAAAACGAAAGAAAAACTGAAGCAAAACCACAGCTAAATAATCGGCTCCGCATTTATTAAATTCGTTATCTTTCGTGTGACGTTGGCTGGATATATTACTTTTTTTTATCAAACACAAAGTTCACTAAAAACGGACAAGCATTAAATACGATTACGTTTGTGGGATGAGTAAGAGACCACTCAGCTCGTGTCAAACGTTAGCTTCCAATAGATAGTGATTCTTTCCCTTACAGTGAATTATTTCCCTTGATGTCGATTTTGATTTGTTTCTCTTTCCTACAGCGTTTTGCACTCTAAACGTGTGCCCATCAACTTTCTACTGGGCCAATAAGTGTGCGCCTACAAGCTTTCGATGACATATAACAAAACGAGTGCGTCAGACCTGTATCAAATATTTCTTAGGTACGACACAACTCATGCTAGTCACCGTCCTAAAAACCATACCGTAACAGCGTTTGAATTACGTTGGGCCCGCTTCCGATGCATGACTCGAATAAGATCATACTTTTAGGGATCATTTCTAAAGTTGGTCTTGCCGGGACGTTGAGCAAAATTGAACGGCACGAAAACCATGATGACGAGATTCAGTCACTTCCTCTGAGCGTGAAGTTGACCTCGAGACAGTCACAGCTTGAGTGACAGTCTCAGTAGGTCTTTGATGATAGTTCCTCTCCTCCCTCAGCGGGGAGTTGGAGGAGGATGTGACAATCCGATTGGTTTCTCTCTATCAAATGTAAAGAATGGTTTATCTAGCAAATGGTGCTGCCCACCACCAAAGCTTTTTCATGCAGCAAAAAGCACATTCGCTCTCCGACGACACGTGCTAGCATACCATATAACTTGTCCGTGTAGTAGTCTACGAACCAAACGACTGGCTTCCACGGTCTGTTGATTTTCACGTGAGCTTTGTTTACAACCGGCTGTTCATCCTATAGTTATGCGTCAACACACCGACGAACACGTCCACGATGCGTCTTTACAACGAAGCAAGCACTGCATGCATTATAATACCCACAGTTTTCATGTTTTGTCTCCTGATAAGCAAAACAGCAGTAGAGATAATCAACAGAAAATCTATTTATATAGGGCTAGGTTTTGACAGGCAAATGTGAGTCCTATTTTCTAGCGTTTTAATTGTTTATTTATTCAACAGCAGATATCCAATGTTTTATGTATACCACTTTAAAATGTTACCCCGTTGATCGAAACATTTTAGTCTACCAACACAAGCGTTTTCACTTTTTCGGAAAATAAAACTTATTTGAAATAAAACGAAAGAAAAACTGAAGCAAAACCACAGCTAAATAATCGGCTCCGCATTTATTAAATTCGTTATCTTTCGTGTGACGTTGGCTGGATATATTACTTTTTTTTATCAAACACAAAGTTCACTAAAAACGGACAAGCATTAAATACGATTACGTTTGTGGGATGAGTAAGAGACCACTCAGCTCGTGTCAAACGTTAGCTTCCAATAGATAGTGATTCTTTCCCTTACAGTGAATCATTTCCCTTGATGTCGATTTTGATTTGTTTCTCTTTCCTACAGCGTTTTGCACTCTAAACGTGTGCCCATCAACTTTCTACTGGGCCAATAAGTGTGCGCCTACAAGCTTTCGATGACATATAACAAAACGAGTGCGTCAGACCTGTATCAAATATTTCTTAGGTGCGACACAACTCATGCTAGTCACCGTCCTAAAAACCATACCGTAACAGCGTTTGAATTACGTTGGGCCCGCTTCCGATGCATGACTCGAATAAGATCATACTTTTAGGGATCATTTCTAAAGTTGGTCTTGCCGGGACGTTGAGCAAAATTGAACGGCACGAAAACCATGATGACGAGATTCAGTCACTTCCTCTGAGCGTGAAGTTGACCTCGAGACAGTCACAGCTTGAGTGACAGTCTCAGTAGGTCTTTGATGATCGTTCCTCTCCTCCCTCAGCGGGGAGTTGGAGGAGGATGTGACAATCCGATTGGTTTCTATCTATCAAATGTAAAGAATGGTTTATCTAGCAAATGGTGCTGCCCACCACCAAAGCTTTTTCATGCAGCAAAAAGCACATTCGCTCTCCGACGACACGTGCTAGCATACCATATAACTTGTCCGTGTAGTAGTCTACGAACCAAACGACTGGCTTCCACGGTCTGTTGATTTTCACGTGAGCTTTGTTTACAACCGGCTGTTCATCCTATAGTTATGCGTCAACACACCGACGAACACGTCCACGATGCGTCTTTACAACGAAGCAAGCACTGCATGCATTATAATACCCACAGTTTTCATGTTTTGTCTCCTGATAAGCAAAACAGCAGTAGAGATAATCAACAGAAAATCTATTTATATAGGGCTAGGTTTTGACAGGCAAATGTGAGTCCTATTTTCTAGCGTTTTAATTGTTTATTTATTCAACAGCAGATATCCAATGTTTTATGTATACCACTTTAAAATGTTACCCCGTTGATCGAAACATTTTAGTCTACCAACACAAGCGTTTTCACATTTCGGAAAATAAAACTTATTTGAAATAAAACGAAAGAAAAACTGAAGCAAAACCACAGCTAAATAATCGGCTCCGCATTTATTAAATTCGTTATCTTTCGTGTGACGTTGGCTGGATATATTACTTTTTTTTATCAAACACAAAGTTCACTAAAAACGGACAAGCATTAAATACGATTACGTTTGTGGGATGAGTAAGAGACCACTCAGCTCGTGTCAAACGTTAGCTTCCAATAGATAGTGATTCTTTCCCTTACAGTGAATTATTTCCCTTGATGTCGATTTTGATTTGTTTCTCTTTCCTACAGCGTTTTGCACTCTAAACGTGTGCCCATCAAGTTTCTACTGGGCCAATAAGTGTGCGCCTACAAGCTTTCGATGACATATAACAAAACGAGTGCGTCAGACCTGTATCAAATATTTCTTAGGTGCGACACAACTCATGCTAGTCACCGTCCTAAAAACCATACCGTAACAGCGTTTGAATTACGTTGGGCCCGCTTCCGATGCATGACTCGAATAAGATCATACTTTTAGGGATCATTTCTAAAGTTGGTCTTGCCGGGACGTTGAGCAAAATTGAACGGCACGAAAACCATGATGACGAGATTCAGTCACTTCCTCTGAGCGTGAAGTTGACCTCGAGACAGTCACAGCTTGAGTGACAGTCTCAGTAGGTCTTTGATGATCGTTCCTCTCCTCCCTCAGCGGGGAGTTGGAGGAGGATGTGACAATCCGATTGGTTTCTCTCTATCATATGTAAAGAATGGTTTATCTAGCAAATGGTGCTGCCCACCACCAAAGCTTTTTCATGCAGCAAAAAGCACATTCGCTCTCCGACGACACGTGCTAGCATACCATATAACTTGTCCGTGTAGTAGTCTACGAACCAAACGACTGGCTTCCACGGTCTGTTGATTTTCACGTGAGCTTTGTTTACAACCGGCTGTTCATCCTATAGTTATGCGTCAACACACCGACGAACACGTCCACGATGCGTCTTTACAACGAAGCAAGCACTGCATGCATTATAATACCCACAGTTTTCATGTTTTGTCTCCTGATAAGCAAAACAGCAGTAGAGATAATCAACAGAAAATCTATTTATATAGGGCTAGGTTTTGACAGGCAAATGTGAGTCCTATTTTCTAGCGTTTTAATTGTTTATTTATTCAACAGCAGATATCCAATGTTTTATGTATACCACTTTAAAATGTTACCCCGTTGATCGAAACATTTTAGTCTACCAACACAAGCGTTTTCACATTTCGGAAAATAAAACTTATTTGAAATAAAACGAAAGAAAAACTGAAGCAAAACGACAGCTAAATAATCGGCTCCGCATTTATTAAATTCGTTATCTTTCGTGTGACGTTGGCTGGATATATTACTTTTTTTTATCAAACACAAAGTTCACTAAAAACGGACAAGCATTAAATACGATTACGTTTGTGGGATGAGTAAGAGACCACTCAGCTCGTGTCAAACGTTAGCTTCCAATAGATAGTGATTCTTTCCCTTACAGTGAATTATTTCCCTTGATGTCGATTTTGATTTGTTTCTCTTTCCTACAGCGTTTTGCACTCTAAACGTGTGCCCATCAACTTTCTACTGGGCCAATAAGTGTGCGCCTACAAGCTTTCGATGACATATAACAAAACGAGTGCGTCAGACCTGTATCAAATATTTCTTAGGTACGACACAACTCATGCTAGTCACCGTCCTAAAAACCATACCGTAACAGCGTTTGAATTACGTTGGGCCCGCTTCCGATGCATGACTCGAATAAGATCATACTTTTAGGGATCATTTCTAAAGTTGGTCTTGCCGGGACGTTGAGCAAAATTGAACGGCACGAAAACCATGATGACGAGATTCAGTCACTTCCTCTGAGCGTGAAGTTGACCTCGAGACAGTCACAGCTTGAGTGACAGTCTCAGTAGGTCTTTGATGATCGTTCCTCTCCTCCCTCAGCGGGGAGTTGGAGGAGGATGTGACAATCCGATTGGTTTCTCTCTATCATATGTAAAGAATGGTTTATCTAGCAAATGGTGCTGCCCACCACCAAAGCTTTTTCATGCAGCAAAAAGCACATTCGCTCTCCGACGACACGTGCTAGCATACCATATAACTTGTCCGTGTAGTAGTCTACGAACCAAACGACTGGCTTCCACGGTCTGTTGATTTTCACGTGAGCTTTGTTTACAACCGGCTGTTCATCCTATAGTTATGCGTCAACACACCGACGAACACGTCCACGATGCGTCTTTACAACGAAGCAAGCACTGCATGCATTATAATACCCACAGTTTTCATGTTTTGTCTCCTGATAAGCAAAACAGCAGTAGAGATAATCAACAGAAAATCTATTTATATAGGGCTAGGTTTTGACAGGCAAATGTGAGTCCTATTTTCTAGCGTTTTAATTGTTTATTTATTCAACAGCAGATATCCAATGTTTTATGTATACCACTTTAAAATGTTACCCCGTTGATCGAAACATTTTAGTCTACCAACACAAGCGTTTTCACATTTCGGAAAATAAAACTTATTTGAAATAAAACGAAAGAAAAACTGAAGCAAAACGACAGCTAAATAATCGGCTCCGCATTTATTAAATTCGTTATCTTTCGTGTGACGTTGGCTGGATATATTACTTTTTTTTATCAAACACAAAGTTCACTAAAAACGGACAAGCATTAAATACGATTACGTTTGTGGGATGAGTAAGAGACCACTCAGCTCGTGTCAAACGTTAGCTTCCAATAGATAGTGATTCTTTCCCTTACAGTGAATTATTTCCCTTGATGTCGATTTTGATTTGTTTCTCTTTCCTACAGCGTTTTGCACTCTAAACGTGTGCCCATCAACTTTCTACTGGGCCAATAAGTGTGCGCCTACAAGCTTTCGATGACATATAACAAAACGAGTGCGTCAGACCTGTATCAAATATTTCTTAGGTACGACACAACTCATGCTAGTCACCGTCCTAAAAACCATACCGTAACAGCGTTTGAATTACGTTGGGCCCGCTTCCGATGCATGACTCGAATAAGATCATACTTTTAGGGATCATTTCTAAAGTTGGTCTTGCCGGGACGTTGAGCAAAATTGAACGGCACGAAAACCATGATGACGAGATTCAGTCACTTCCTCTGAGCGTGAAGTTGACCTCGAGACAGTCACAGCTTGAGTGACAGTCTCAGTAGGTCTTTGATGATCGTTCCTCTCCTCCCTCAGCGGGGAGTTGGAGGAGGATGTGACAATCCGATTGGTTTCTCTCTATCATATGTAAAGAATGGTTTATCTAGCAAATGGTGCTGCCCACCACCAAAGCTTTTTCATGCAGCAAAAAGCACATTCGCTCTCCGACGACACGTGCTAGCATACCATATAACTTGTCCGTGTAGTAGTCTACGAACCAAACGACTGGCTTCCACGGTCTGTTGATTTTCACGTGAGCTTTGTTTACAACCGGCTGTTCATCCTATAGTTATGCGTCAACACACCGACGAACACGTCCACGATGCGTCTTTACAACGAAGCAAGCACTGCATGCATTATAATACCCACAGTTTTCATGTTTTGTCTCCTGATAAGCAAAACAGCAGTAGAGATAATCAACAGAAAATCTATTTATATAGGGCTAGGTTTTGACAGGCAAATGTGAGTCCTATTTTCTAGCGTTTTAATTGTTTATTTATTCAACAGCAGATATCCAATGTTTTATGTATACCACTTTAAAATGTTACCCCGTTGATCGAAACATTTTAGTCTACCAACACAAGCGTTTTCACATTTCGGAAAATAAAACTTATTTGAAATAAAACGAAAGAAAAACTGAAGCAAAACGACAGCTAAATAATCGGCTCCGCATTTATTAAATTCGTTATCTTTCGTGTGACGTTGGCTGGATATATTACTTTTTTTTATCAAACACAAAGTTCACTAAAAACGGACAAGCATTAAATACGATTACGTTTGTGGGATGAGTAAGAGACCACTCAGCTCGTGTCAAACGTTAGCTTCCAATAGATAGTGATTCTTTCCCTTACAGTGAATTATTTCCCTTGATGTCGATTTTGATTTGTTTCTCTTTCCTACAGCGTTTTGCACTCTAAACGTGTGCCCATCAACTTTCTACTGGGCCAATAAGTGTGCGCCTACAAGCTTTCGATGACATATAACAAAACGAGTGCGTCAGACCTGTATCAAATATTTCTTAGGTACGACACAACTCATGCTAGTCACCGTCCTAAAAACCATACCGTAACAGCGTTTGAATTACGTTGGGCCCGCTTCCGATGCATGACTCGAATAAGATCATACTTTTAGGGATCATTTCTAAAGTTGGTCTTGCCGGGACGTTGAGCAAAATTGAACGGCACGAAAACCATGATGACGAGATTCAGTCACTTCCTCTGAGCGTGAAGTTGACCTCGAGACAGTCACAGCTTGAGTGACAGTCTCAGTAGGTCTTTGATGATCGTTCCTCTCCTCCCTCAGCGGGGAGTTGGAGGAGGATGTGACAATCCGATTGGTTTCTCTCTATCAAATGTAAAGAATGGTTTATCTAGCAAATGGTGCTGCCCACCACCAAAGCTTTTTCATGCAGCAAAAAGCACATTCGCTCTCCGACGACACGTGCTAGCATACCATATAACTTGTCCGTGTAGTAGTCTACGAACCAAACGACTGGCTTCCACGGTCTGTTGATTTTCACGTGAGCTTTGTTTACAACCGGCTGTTCATCCTATAGTTATGCGTCAACACACCGACGAACACGTCCACGATGCGTCTTTACAACGAAGCAAGCACTGCATGCATTATAATACCCACAGTTTTCATGTTTTGTCTCCTGATAAGCAAAACAGCAGTAGAGATAATCAACAGAAAATCTATTTATATAGGGCTAGGTTTTGACAGGCAAATGTGAGTCCTATTTTCTAGCGTTTTAATTGTTTATTTATTCAACAGCAGATATCCAATGTTTTATGTATACCACTTTAAAATGTTACCCCGTTGATCGAAACATTTTAGTCTACCAACACAAGCGTTTTCACATTTCGGAAAATAAAACTTATTTGAAATAAAACGAAAGAAAAACTGAAGCAAAACCACAGCTAAATAATCGGCTCCGCATTTATTAAATTCGTTATCTTTCGTGTGACGTTGGCTGGATATATTACTTTTTTTTATCAAACACAAAGTTCACTAAAAACGGACAAGCATTAAATACGATTACGTTTGTGGGATGAGTAAGAGACCACTCAGCTCGTGTCAAACGTTAGCTTCCAATAGATAGTGATTCTTTCCCTTACAGTGAATTATTTCCCTTGATGTCGATTTTGATTTGTTTCTCTTTCCTACAGCGTTTTGCACTCTAAACGTGTGCCCATCAACTTTCTACTGGGCCAATAAGTGTGCGCCTACAAGCTTTCGATGACATATAACAAAACGAGTGCGTCAGACCTGTATCAAATATTTCTTAGGTACGACACAACTCATGCTAGTCACCGTCCTAAAAACCATACCGTAACAGCGTTTGAATTACGTTGGGCCCGCTTCCGATGCATGACTCGAATAAGATCATACTTTTAGGGATCATTTCTAAAGTTGGTCTTGCCGGGACGTTGAGCAAAATTGAACGGCACGAAAACCATGATGACGAGATTCAGTCACTTCCTCTGAGCGTGAAGTTGACCTCGAGACAGTCACAGCTTGAGTGACAGTCTCAGTAGGTCTTTGATGATCGTTCCTCTCCTCCCTCAGCGGGGAGTTGGAGGAGGATGTGACAATCCGATTGGTTTCTCTCTATCATATGTAAAGAATGGTTTATCTAGCAAATGGTGCTGCCCACCACCAAAGCTTTTTCATGCAGCAAAAAGCACATTCGCTCTCCGACGACACGTGCTAGCATACCATATAACTTGTCCGTGTAGTAGTCTACGAACCAAACGACTGGCTTCCACGGTCTGTTGATTTTCACGTGAGCTTTGTTTACAACCGGCTGTTCATCCTATAGTTATGCGTCAACACACCGACGAACACGTCCACGATGCGTCTTTACAACGAAGCAAGCACTGCATGCATTATAATACCCACAGTTTTCATGTTTTGTCTCCTGATAAGCAAAACAGCAGTAGAGATAATCAACAGAAAATCTATTTATATAGGGCTAGGTTTTGACAGGCAAATGTGAGTCCTATTTTCTAGCGTTTTAATTGTTTATTTATTCAACAGCAGATATCCAATGTTTTATGTATACCACTTTAAAATGTTACCCCGTTGATCGAAACATTTTAGTCTACCAACACAAGCGTTTTCACATTTCGGAAAATAAAACTTATTTGAAATAAAACGAAAGAAAAACTGAAGCAAAACGACAGCTAAATAATCGGCTCCGCATTTATTAAATTCGTTATCTTTCGTGTGACGTTGGCTGGATATATTACTTTTTTTTATCAAACACAAAGTTCACTAAAAACGGACAAGCATTAAATACGATTACGTTTGTGGGATGAGTAAGAGACCACTCAGCTCGTGTCAAACGTTAGCTTCCAATAGATAGTGATTCTTTCCCTTACAGTGAATTATTTCCCTTGATGTCGATTTTGATTTGTTTCTCTTTCCTACAGCGTTTTGCACTCTAAACGTGTGCCCATCAACTTTCTACTGGGCCAATAAGTGTGCGCCTACAAGCTTTCGATGACATATAACAAAACGAGTGCGTCAGACCTGTATCAAATATTTCTTAGGTGCGACACAACTCATGCTAGTCACCGTCCTAAAAACCATACCGTAACAGCGTTTGAATTACGTTGCGCCCGCTTCCGATGCATGACTCGAATAAGATCATACTTTTAGGGATCATTTCTAAAGTTGGTCTTGCCGGGACGTTGAGCAAAATTGAACGGCACGAAAACCATGATGACGAGATTCAGTCACTTCCTCTGAGCGTGAAGTTGACCTCGAGACAGTCACAGCTTGAGTGACAGTCTCAGTAGGTCTTTGATGATCGTTCCTCTCCTCCCTCAGCGGGGAGTTGGAGGAGGATGTGACAATCCGATTGGTTTCTCTCTATCATATGTAAAGAATGGTTTATCTAGCAAATGGTGCTGCCCACCACCAAAGCTTTTTCATGCAGCAAAAAGCACATTCGCTCTCCGACGACACGTGCTAGCATACCATATAACTTGTCCGTGTAGTAGTCTACGAACCAAACGACTGGCTTCCACGGTCTGTTGATTTTCACGTGAGCTTTGTTTACAACCGGCTGTTCATCCTATAGTTATGCGTCAACACACCGACGAACACGTCCACGATGCGTCTTTACAACGAAGCAAGCACTGCATGCATTATAATACCCACAGTTTTCATGTTTTGTCTCCTGATAAGCAAAACAGCAGTAGAGATAATCAACAGAAAATCTATTTATATAGGGCTAGGTTTTGACAGGCAAATGTGAGTCCTATTTTCTAGCGTTTTAATTGTTTATTTATTCAACAGCAGATATCCAATGTTTTATGTATACCACTTTAAAATGTTACCCCGTTGATCGAAACATTTTAGTCTACCAACACAAGCGTTTTCACATTTCGGAAAATAAAACTTATTTGAAATAAAACGAAAGAAAAACTGAAGCAAAACGACAGCTAAATAATCGGCTCCGCATTTATTAAATTCGTTATCTTTCGTGTGACGTTGGCTGGATATATTACTTTTTTTTTTTATCAAACACAAAGTTCACTAAAAACGGACAAGCATTAAATACGATTACGTTTGTGGGATGAGTAAGAGACCACTCAGCTCGTGTCAAACGTTAGCTTCCAATAGATAGTGATTCTTTCCCTTACAGTGAATTATTTCCCTTGATGTCGATTTTGATTTGTTTCTCTTTCCTACAGCGTTTTGCACTCTAAACGTGTGCCCATCAACTTTCTACTGGGCCAATAAGTGTGCGCCTACAAGCTTTCGATGACATATAACAAAACGAGTGCGTCAGACCTGTATCAAATATTTCTTAGGTGCGACACAACTCATGCTAGTCACCGTCCTAAAAACCATACCGTAACAGCGTTTGAATTACGTTGGGCCCGCTTCCGATGCATGACTCGAATAAGATCATACTTTTAGGGATCATTTCTAAAGTTGGTCTTGCCGGGACGTTGAGCAAAATTGAACGGCACGAAAACCATGATGACGAGATTCAGTCACTTCCTCTGAGCGTGAAGTTGACCTCGAGACAGTCACAGCTTGAGTGACAGTCTCAGTAGGTCTTTGATGATCGTTCCTCTCCTCCCTCAGCGGGGAGTTGGAGGAGGATGTGACAATCCGATTGGTTTCTCTCTATCAAATGTAAAGAATGGTTTATCTAGCAAATGGTGCTGCCCACCACCAAAGCTTTTTCATGCAGCAAAAAGCACATTCGCTCTCCGACGACACGTGCTAGCATACCATATAACTTGTCCGTGTAGTAGTCTACGAACCAAACGACTGGCTTCCACGGTCTGTTGATTTTCACGTGAGCTTTGTTTACAACCGGCTGTTCATCCTATAGTTATGCGTCAACACACCGACGAACACGTCCACGATGCGTCTTTACAACGAAGCAAGCACTGCATGCATTATAATACCCACAGTTTTCATGTTTTGTCTCCTGATAAGCAAAACAGCAGTAGAGATAATCAACAGAAAATCTATTTATATAGGGCTAGGTTTTGACAGGCAAATGTGAGTCCTATTTTCTAGCGTTTTAATTGTTTATTTATTCAACAGCAGATATCCAATGTTTTATGTATACCACTTTAAAATGTTACCCCGTTGATCGAAACATTTTAGTCTACCAACACAAGCGTTTTCACATTTCGGAAAATAAAACTTATTTGAAATAAAACGAAAGAAAAACTGAAGCAAAACGACAGCTAAATAATCGGCTCCGCATTTATTAAATTCGTTATCTTTCGTGTGACGTTGGCTGGATATATTACTTTTTTTTTTTATCAAACACAAAGTTCACTAAAAACGGACAAGCATTAAATACGATTACGTTTGTGGGATGAGTAAGAGACCACTCAGCTCGTGTCAAACGTTAGCTTCCAATAGATAGTGATTCTTTCCCTTACAGTGAATTATTTCCCTTGATGTCGATTTTGATTTGTTTCTCTTTCCTACAGCGTTTTGCACTCTAAACGTGTGCCCATCAACTTTCTACTGGGCCAATAAGTGTGCGCCTACAAGCTTTCGATGACATATAACAAAACGAGTGCGTCAGACCTGTATCAAATATTTCTTAGGTGCGACACAACTCATGCTAGTCACCGTCCTAAAAACCATACCGTAACAGCGTTTGAATTACGTTGGGCCCGCTTCCGATGCATGACTCGAATAAGATCATACTTTTAGGGATCATTTCTAAAGTTGGTCTTGCCGGGACGTTGAGCAAAATTGAACGGCACGAAAACCATGATGACGAGATTCAGTCACTTCCTCTGAGCGTGAAGTTGACCTCGAGACAGTCACAGCTTGAGTGACAGTCTCAGTAGGTCTTTGATGATCGTTCCTCTCCTCCCTCAGCGGGGAGTTGGAGGAGGATGTGACAATCCGATTGGTTTCTCTCTATCAAATGTAAAGAATGGTTTATCTAGCAAATGGTGCTGCCCACCACCAAAGCTTTTTCATGCAGCAAAAAGCACATTCGCTCTCCGACGACACGTGCTAGCATACCATATAACTTGTCCGTGTAGTAGTCTACGAACCAAACGACTGGCTTCCACGGTCTGTTGATTTTCACGTGAGCTTTGTTTACAACCGGCTGTTCATCCTATAGTTATGCGTCAACACACCGACGAACACGTCCACGATGCGTCTTTACAACGAAGCAAGCACTGCATGCATTATAATACCCACAGTTTTCATGTTTTGTCTCCTGATAAGCAAAACAGCAGTAGAGATAATCAACAGAAAATCTATTTATATAGGGCTAGGTTTTGACAGGCAAATGTGAGTCCTATTTTCTAGCGTTTTAATTGTTTATTTATTCAACAGCAGATATCCAATGTTTTATGTATACCACTTTAAAATGTTACCCCGTTGATCGAAACATTTTAGTCTACCAACACAAGCGTTTTCACATTTCGGAAAATAAAACTTATTTGAAATAAAACGAAAGAAAAACTGAAGCAAAACGACAGCTAAATAATCGGCTCCGCATTTATTAAATTCGTTATCTTTCGTGTGACGTTGGCTGGATATATTACTTTTTTTTTTTATCAAACACAAAGTTCACTAAAAACGGACAAGCATTAAATACGATTACGTTTGTGGGATGAGTAAGAGACCACTCAGCTCGTGTCAAACGTTAGCTTCCAATAGATAGTGATTCTTTCCCTTACAGTGAATTATTTCCCTTGATGTCGATTTTGATTTGTTTCTCTTTCCTACAGCGTTTTGCACTCTAAACGTGTGCCCATCAACTTTCTACTGGGCCAATAAGTGTGCGCCTACAAGCTTTCGATGACATATAACAAAACGAGTGCGTCAGACCTGTATCAAATATTTCTTAGGTGCGACACAACTCATGCTAGTCACCGTCCTAAAAACCATACCGTAACAGCGTTTGAATTACGTTGGGCCCGCTTCCGATGCATGACTCGAATAAGATCATACTTTTAGGGATCATTTCTAAAGTTGGTCTTGCCGGGACGTTGAGCAAAATTGAACGGCACGAAAACCGTGATGACGAGATTCAGTCACTTCCTCTGAGCGTGAAGTTGACCTCGAGACAGTCACAGCTTGAGTGACAGTCTCAGTAGGTCTTTGATGATCGTTCCTCTCCTCCCTCAGCGGGGAGTTGGAGGAGGATGTGACAATCCGATTGGTTTCTCTCTATCAAATGTAAAGAATGGTTTATCTAGCAAATGGTGCTGCCCACCACCAAAGCTTTTTCATGCAGCAAAAAGCACATTCGCTCTCCGACGACACGTGCTAGCATACCATATAACTTGTCCGTGTAGTAGTCTACGAACCAAACGACTGGCTTCCACGGTCTGTTGATTTTCACGTGAGCTTTGTTTACAACCGGCTGTTCATCCTATAGTTATGCGTCAACACACCGACGAACACGTCCACGATGCGTCTTTACAACGAAGCAAGCACTGCATGCATTATAATACCCACAGTTTTCATGTTTTGTCTCCTGATAAGCAAAACAGCAGTAGAGATAATCAACAGAAAATCTATTTATATAGGGCTAGGTTTTGACAGGCAAATGTGAGTCCTATTTTCTAGCGTTTTAATTGTTTATTTATTCAACAGCAGATATCCAATGTTTTATGTATACCACTTTAAAATGTTACCCCGTTGATCGAAACATTTTAGTCTACCAACACAAGCGTTTTCACATTTCGGAAAATAAAACTTATTTGAAATAAAACGAAAGAAAAACTGAAGCAAAACGACAGCTAAATAATCGGCTCCGCATTTATTAAATTCGTTATCTTTCGTGTGACGTTGGCTGGATATATTACTTTTTTTTTTTATCAAACACAAAGTTCACTAAAATCGGACAAGCATTAAATACGATTACGTTTGTGGGATGAGTAAGAGACCACTCAGCTCGTGTCAAACGTTAGCTTCCAATAGATAGTGATTCTTTCCCTTACAGTGAATTATTTCCCTTGATGTCGATTTTGATTTGTTTCTCTTTCCTACAGCGTTTTGCACTCTAAACGTGTGCCCATCAACTTTCTACTGGGCCAATAAGTGTGCGCCTACAAGCTTTCGATGACATATAACAAAACGAGTGCGTCAGACCTGTATCAAATATTTCTTAGGTGCGACACAACTCATGCTAGTCACCGTCCTAAAAACCATACCGTAACAGCGTTTGAATTACGTTGGGCCCGCTTCCGATGCATGACTCGAATAAGATCATACTTTTAGGGATCATTTCTAAAGTTGGTCTTGCCGGGACGTTGAGCAAAATTGAACGGCACGAAAATCATGATGACGAGATTCAGTCACTTCCTCTGAGCGTGAAGTTGACCTCGAGACAGTCACAGCTTGAGTGACAGTCTCAGTAGGTCTTTGATGATCGTTCCTCTCCTCCCTCAGCGGGGAGTTGGAGGAGGATGTGACAATCCGATTGGTTTCTCTCTATCAAATGTAAAGAATGGTTTATCTAGCAAATGGTGCTGCCCACCACCAAAGCTTTTTCATGCAGCAAAAAGCACATTCGCTCTCCGACGACACGTGCTAGCATACCATATAACTTGTCCGTGTAGTAGTCTACGAACCAAACGACTGGCTTCCACGGTCTGTTGATTTTCACGTGAGCTTTGTTTACAACCGGCTGTTCATCCTATAGTTATGCGTCAACACACCGACGAACACGTCCACGATGCGTCTTTACAACGAAGCAAGCACTGCATGCATTATAATACCCACAGTTTTCATGTTTTGTCTCCTGATAAGCAAAACAGCAGTAGAGATAATCAACAGAAAATCTATTTATATAGGGCTAGGTTTTGACAGGCAAATGTGAGTCCTATTTTCTAGCGTTTTAATTGTTTATTTATTCAACAGCAGATATCCAATGTTTTATGTATACCACTTTAAAATGTTACCCCGTTGATCGAAACATTTTAGTCTACCAACACAAGCGTTTTCACATTTCGGAAAATAAAACTTATTTGAAATAAAACGAAAGAAAAACTGAAGCAAAACGACAGCTAAATAATCGGCTCCGCATTTATTAAATTCGTTATCTTTCGTGTGACGTTGGCTGGATATATTACTTTTTTTTTTATCAAACACAAAGTTCACTAAAAACGGACAAGCATTAAATACGATTACGTTTGTGGGATGAGTAAGAGACCACTCAGCTCGTGTCAAACGTTAGCTTCCAATAGATAGTGATTCTTTCCCTTACAGTGAATTATTTCCCTTGATGTCGATTTTGATTTGTTTCTCTTTCCTACAGCGTTTTGCACTCTAAACGTGTGCCCATCAACTTTCTACTGGGCCAATAAGTGTGCGCCTACAAGCTTTCGATGACATATAACAAAACGAGTGCGTCAGACCTGTATCAAATATTTCTTAGGTGCGACACAACTCATGCTAGTCACCGTCCTAAAAACCATACCGTAACAGCGTTTGAATTACGTTGGGCCCGCTTCCGATGCATGACTCGAATAAGATCATACTTTTAGGGATCATTTCTAAAGTTGGTCTTGCCGGGACGTTGAGCAAAATTGAACGGCACGAAAACCATGATGACGAGATTCAGTCACTTCCTCTGAGCGTGAAGTTGACCTCGAGACAGTCACAGCTTGAGTGACAGTCTCAGTAGGTCTTTGATGATCGTTCCTCTCCTCCCTCAGCGGGGAGTTGGAGGAGGATGTGACAATCCGATTGGTTTCTCTCTATCAAATGTAAAGAATGGTTTATCTAGCAAATGGTGCTGCCCACCACCAAAGCTTTTTCATGCAGCAAAAAGCACATTCGCTCTCCGACGACACGTGCTAGCATACCATATAACTTGTCCGTGTAGTAGTCTACGAACCAAACGACTGGCTTCCACGGTCTGTTGATTTTCACGTGAGCTTTGTTTACAACCGGCTCTTCATCCTATAGTTATGCGTCAACACACCGACGAACACGTCCACGATGCGTCTTTACAACGAAGCAAGCACTGCATGCATTATAATACCCACAGTTTTCATGTTTTGTCTCCTGATAAGCAAAACAGCAGTAGAGATAATCAACAGAAAATCTATTTATATAGGGCTAGGTTTTGACAGGCAAATGTGAGTCCTATTTTCTAGCGTTTTAATTGTTTATTTATTCAACAGCAGATATCCAATGTTTTATGTATACCACTTTAAAATGTTACCCCGTTGATCGAAACATTTTAGTCTACCAACACAAGCGTTTTCACATTTCGGAAAATAAAACTTATTTGAAATAAAACGAAAGAAAAACTGAAGCAAAACGACAGCTAAATAATCGGCTCCGCATTTATTAAATTCGTTATCTTTCGTGTGACGTTGGCTGGATATATTACTTTTTTTTTTATCAAACACAAAGTTCACTAAAAACGGACAAGCATTAAATACGATTACGTTTGTGGGATGAGTAAGAGACCACTCAGCTCGTGTCAAACGTTAGCTTCCAATAGATAGTGATTCTTTCCCTTACAGTGAATTATTTCCCTTGATGTCGATTTTGATTTGTTTCTCTTTCCTACAGCGTTTTGCACTCTAAACGTGTGCCCATCAACTTTCTACTGGGCCAATAAGTGTGCGCCTACAAGCTTTCGATGACATATAACAAAACGAGTGCGTCAGACCTGTATCAAATATTTCTTAGGTGCGACACAACTCATGCTAGTCACCGTCCTAAAAACCATACCGTAACAGCGTTTGAATTACGTTGGGCCCGCTTCCGATGCATGACTCGAATAAGATCATACTTTTAGGGATCATTTCTAAAGTTGGTCTTGCCGGGACGTTGAGCAAAATTGAACGGCACGAAAACCATGATGACGAGATTCAGTCACTTCCTCTGAGCGTGAAGTTGACCTCGAGACAGTCACAGCTTGAGTGACAGTCTCAGTAGGTCTTTGATGATCGTTCCTCTCCTCCCTCAGCGGGGAGTTGGAGGAGGATGTGACAATCCGATTGGTTTCTCTCTATCATATGTAAAGAATGGTTTATCTAGCAAATGGTGCTGCCCACCACCAAAGCTTTTTCATGCAGCAAAAAGCACATTCGCTCTCCGACGACACGTGCTAGCATACCATATAACTTGTCCGTGTAGTAGTCTACGAACCAAACGACTGGCTTCCACGGTCTGTTGATTTTCACGTGAGCTTTGTTTACAACCGGCTGTTCATCCTATAGTTATGCGTCAACACACCGACGAACACGTCCACGATGCGTCTTTACAACGAAGCAAGCACTGCATGCATTATAATACCCACAGTTTTCATGTTTTGTCTCCTGATAAGCAAAACAGCAGTAGAGATAATCAACAGAAAATCTATTTATATAGGGCTAGGTTTTGACAGGCAAATGTGAGTCCTATTTTCTAGCGTTTTAATTGTTTATTTATTCAACAGCAGATATCCAATGTTTTATGTATACCACTTTAAAATGTTACCCCGTTGATCGAAACATTTTAGTCTACCAACACAAGCGTTTTCACATTTCGGAAAATAAAACTTATTTGAAATAAAACGAAAGAAAAACTGAAGCAAAACGACAGCTAAATAATCGGCTCCGCATTTATTAAATTCGTTATCTTTCGTGTGACGTTGGCTGGATATATTACTTTTTTTTTATCAAACACAAAGTTCACTAAAAACGGACAAGCATTAAATACGATTACGTTTGTGGGATGAGTAAGAGACCACTCAGCTCGTGCCAAACGTTAGCTTCCAATAGATAGTGATTCTTTCCCTTACAGTGAATTATTTCCCTTGATGTCGATTTTGATTTGTTTCTCTTTCCTACAGCGTTTTGCACTCTAAACGTGTGCCCATCAACTTTCTACTGGGCCAATAAGTGTGCGCCTACAAGCTTTCGATGACATATAACAAAACGAGTGCGTCAGACCTGTATCAAATATTTCTTAGGTGCGACACAACTCATGCTAGTCACCGTCCTAAAAACCATACCGTAACAGCGTTTGAATTACGTTGGGCCCGCTTCCGATGCATGACTCGAATAAGATCATACTTTTAGGGATCATTTCTAAAGTTGGTCTTGCCGGGACGTTGAGCAAAATTGAACGGCACGAAAACCATGATGACGAGATTCAGTCACTTCCTCTGAGCGTGAAGTTGACCTCGAGACAGTCACAGCTTGAGTGACAGTCTCAGTAGGTCTTTGATGATCGTTCCTCTCCTCCCTCAGCGGGGAGTTGGAGGAGGATGTGACAATCCGATTGGTTTCTCTCTATCATATGTAAAGAATGGTTTATCTAGCAAATGGTGCTGCCCACCACCAAAGCTTTTTCATGCAGCAAAAAGCACATTCGCTCTCCGACGACACGTGCTAGCATACCATATAACTTGTCCGTGTAGTAGTCTACGAACCAAACGACTGGCTTCCACGGTCTGTTGATTTTCACGTGAGCTTTGTTTACAACCGGCTGTTCATCCTATAGTTATGCGTCAACACACCGACGAACACGTCCACGATGCGTCTTTACAACGAAGCAAGCACTGCATGCATTATAATACCCACAGTTTTCATGTTTTGTCTCCTGATAAGCAAAACAGCAGTAGAGATAATCAACAGAAAATCTATTTATATAGGGCTAGGTTTTGACAGGCAAATGTGAGTCCTATTTTCTAGCGTTTTAATTGTTTATTTATTCAACAGCAGATATCCAATGTTTTATGTATACCACTTTAAAATGTTACCCCGTTGATCGAAACATTTTAGTCTACCAACACAAGCGTTTTCACATTTCGGAAAATAAAACTTATTTGAAATAAAACGAAAGAAAAACTGAAGCAAAACGACAGCTAAATAATCGGCTCCGCATTTATTAAATTCGTTATCTTTCGTGTGACGTTGGCTGGATATATTACTTTTTTTTTTTATCAAACACAAAGTTCACTAAAAACGGACAAGCATTAAATACGATTACGTTTGTGGGATGAGTAAGAGACCACTCAGCTCGTGTCAAACGTTAGCTTCCAATAGATAGTGATTCTTTCCCTTACAGTGAATTATTTCCCTTGATGTCGATTTTGATTTGTTTCTCTTTCCTACAGCGTTTTGCACTCTAAACGTGTGCCCATCAACTTTCTACTGGGCCAATAAGTGTGCGCCTACAAGCTTTCGATGACATATAACAAAACGAGTGCGTCAGACCTGTATCAAATATTTCTTAGGTGCGACACAACTCATGCTAGTCACCGTCCTAAAAACCATACCGTAACAGCGTTTGAATTACGTTGGGCCCGCTTCCGATGCATGACTCGAATAAGATCATACTTTTAGGGATCATTTCTAAAGTTGGTCTTGCCGGGACGTTGAGCAAAATTGAACGGCACGAAAACCATGATGACGAGATTCAGTCACTTCCTCTGAGCGTGAAGTTGACCTCGAGACAGTCACAGCTTGAGTGACAGTCTCAGTAGGTCTTTGATGATCGTTCCTCTCCTCCCTCAGCGGGGAGTTGGAGGAGGATGTGACAATCCGATTGGTTTCTCTCTATCATATGTAAAGAATGGTTTATCTAGCAAATGGTGCTGCCCACCACCAAAGCTTTTTCATGCAGCAAAAAGCACATTCGCTCTCCGACGACACGTGCTAGCATACCATATAACTTGTCCGTGTAGTAGTCTACGAACCAAACGACTGGCTTCCACGGTCTGTTGATTTTCACGTGAGCTTTGTTTACAACCGGCTGTTCATCCTATAGTTATGCGTCAACACACCGACGAACACGTCCACGATGCGTCTTTACAACGAAGCAAGCACTGCATGCATTATAATACCCACAGTTTTCATGTTTTGTCTCCTGATAAGCAAAACAGCAGTAGAGATAATCAACAGAAAATCTATTTATATAGGGCTAGGTTTTGACAGGCAAATGTGAGTCCTATTTTCTAGCGTTTTAATTGTTTATTTATTCAACAGCAGATATCCAATGTTTTATGTATACCACTTTAAAATGTTACCCCGTTGATCGAAACATTTTAGTCTACCAACACAAGCGTTTTCACATTTCGGAAAATAAAACTTATTTGAAATAAAACGAAAGAAAAACTGAAGCAAAACGACAGCTAAATAATCGGCTCCGCATTTATTAAATTCGTTATCTTTCGTGTGACGTTGGCTGGATATATTACTTTTTTTTTTTATCTCAGTGACAGTCTCAGTAGGTCTTTGATGATCGTTCCTCTCCTCCCTCAGCGGGGAGTTGGAGGAGGATGTGACAATCCGATTGGTTTCTCTCTATCAAATGTAAAGAATGGTTTATCTAGCAAATGGTGCTGCCCACCACCAAAGCTTTTTCATGCAGCAAAAAGCACATTCGCTCTCCGACGACACGTGCTAGCATACCATATAACTTGTCCGTGTAGTAGTCTACGAACCAAACGACTGGCTTCCACGGTCTGTTGATTTTCACGTGAGCTTTGTTTACAACCGGCTGTTCATCCTATAGTTATGCGTCAACACACCGACGAACACGTCCACGATGCGTCTTTACAACGAAGCAAGCACTGCATGCATTATAATACCCACAGTTTTCATGTTTTGTCTCCTGATAAGCAAAACAGCAGTAGAGATAATCAACAGAAAATCTATTTATATAGGGCTAGGTTTTGACAGGCAAATGTGAGTCCTATTTTCTAGCGTTTTAATTGTTTATTTATTCAACAGCAGATATCCAATGTTTTATGTATACCACTTTAAAATGTTACCCCGTTGATCGAAACATTTTAGTCTACCAACACAAGCGTTTTCACATTTCGGAAAATAAAACTTATTTGAAATAAAACGAAAGAAAAACTGAAGCAAAACGACAGCTAAATAATCGGCTCCGCATTTATTAAATTCGTTATCTTTCGTGTGACGTTGGCTGGATATATTACTTTTTTTTTTTATCAAACACAAAGTTCACTAAAAACGGACAAGCATTAAATACGATTACGTTTGTGGGATGAGTAAGAGACCACTCAGCTCGTGTCAAACGTTAGCTTCCAATAGATAGTGATTCTTTCCCTTACAGTGAATTATTTCCCTTGATGTCGATTTTGATTTGTTTCTCTTTCCTACAGCGTTTTGCACTCTAAACGTGTGCCCATCAACTTTCTACTGGGCCAATAAGTGTGCGCCTACAAGCTTTCGATGACATATAACAAAACGAGTGCGTCAGACCTGTATCAAATATTTCTTAGGTGCGACACAACTCATGCTAGTCACCGTCCTAAAAACCATACCGTAACAGCGTTTGAATTACGTTGGGCCCGCTTCCGATGCATGACTCGAATAAGATCATACTTTTAGGGATCATTTCTAAAGTTGGTCTTGCCGGGACGTTGAGCAAAATTGAACGGCACGAAAACCATGATGACGAGATTCAGTCACTTCCTCTGAGCGTGAAGTTGACCTCGAGACAGTCACAGCTTGAGTGACAGTCTCAGTAGGTCTTTGATGATCGTTCCTCTCCTCCCTCAGCGGGGAGTTGGAGGAGGATGTGACAATCCGATTGGTTTCTCTCTATCATATGTAAAGAATGGTTTATCTAGCAAATGGTGCTGCCCACCACCAAAGCTTTTTCATGCAGCAAAAAGCACATTCGCTCTCCGACGACACGTGCTAGCATACCATATAACTTGTCCGTGTAGTAGTCTACGAACCAAACGACTGGCTTCCACGGTCTGTTGATTTTCACGTGAGCTTTGTTTACAACCGGCTGTTCATCCTATAGTTATGCGTCAACACACCGACGAACACGTCCACGATGCGTCTTTACAACGAAGCAAGCACTGCATGCATTATAATACCCACAGTTTTCATGTTTTGTCTCCTGATAAGCAAAACAGCAGTAGAGATAATCAACAGAAAATCTATTTATATAGGGCTAGGTTTTGACAGGCAAATGTGAGTCCTATTTTCTAGCGTTTTAATTGTTTATTTATTCAACAGCAGATATCCAATGTTTTATGTATACCACTTTAAAATGTTACCCCGTTGATCGAAACATTTTAGTCTACCAACACAAGCGTTTTCACATTTCGGAAAATAAAACTTATTTGAAATAAAACGAAAGAAAAACTGAAGCAAAACGACAGCTAAATAATCGGCTCCGCATTTATTAAATTCGTTATCTTTCGTGTGACGTTGGCTGGATATATTACTTTTTTTTTATCAAACACAAAGTTCACTAAAAACGGACAAGCATTAAATACGATTACGTTTGTGGGATGAGTAAGAGACCACTCAGCTCGTGTCAAACGTTAGCTTCCAATAGATAGTGATTCTTTCCCTTACAGTGAATTATTTCCCTTGATGTCGATTTTGATTTGTTTCTCTTTCCTACAGCGTTTTGCACTCTAAACGTGTGCCCATCAACTTTCTACTGGGCCAATAAGTGTGCGCCTACAAGCTTTCGATGACATATAACAAAACGAGTGCGTCAGACCTGTATCAAATATTTCTTAGGTGCGACACAACTCATGCTAGTCACCGTCCTAAAAACCATACCGTAACAGCGTTTGAATTACGTTGGGCCCGCTTCCGATGCATGACTCGAATAAGATCATACTTTTAGGGATCATTTCTAAAGTTGGTCTTGCCGGGACGTTGAGCAAAATTGAACGGCACGAAAACCATGATGACGAGATTCAGTCACTTCCTCTGAGCGTGAAGTTGACCTCGAGACAGTCACAGCTTGAGTGACAGTCTCAGTAGGTCTTTGATGATCGTTCCTCTCCTCCCTCAGCGGGGAGTTGGAGGAGGATGTGACAATCCGATTGGTTTCTCTCTATCAAATGTAAAGAATGGTTTATCTAGCAAATGGTGCTGCCCACCACCAAAGCTTTTTCATGCAGCAAAAAGCACATTCGCTCTCCGACGACACGTGCTAGCATACCATATAACTTGTCCGTGTAGTAGTCTACGAACCAAACGACTGGCTTCCACGGTCTGTTGATTTTCACGTGAGCTTTGTTTACAACCGGCTGTTCATCCTATAGTTATGCGTCAACACACCGACGAACACGTCCACGATGCGTCTTTACAACGAAGCAAGCACTGCATGCATTATAATACCCACAGTTTTCATGTTTTGTCTCCTGATAAGCAAAACAGCAGTAGAGATAATCAACAGAAAATCTATTTATATAGGGCTAGGTTTTGACAGGCAAATGTGAGTCCTATTTTCTAGCGTTTTAATTGTTTATTTATTCAACAGCAGATATCCAATGTTTTATGTATACCACTTTAAAATGTTACCCCGTTGATCGAAACATTTTAGTCTACCAACACAAGCGTTTTCACATTTCGGAAAATAAAACTTATTTGAAATAAAACGAAAGAAAAACTGAAGCAAAACGACAGCTAAATAATCGGCTCCGCATTTATTAAATTCGTTATCTTTCGTGTGACGTTGGCTGGATATATTACTTTTTTTTTATCAAACACAAAGTTCACTAAAAACGGACAAGCATTAAATACGATTACGTTTGTGGGATGAGTAAGAGACCACTCAGCTCGTGTCAAACGTTAGCTTCCAATAGATAGTGATTCTTTCCCTTACAGTGAATTATTTCCCTTGATGTCGATTTTGATTTGTTTCTCTTTCCTACAGCGTTTTGCACTCTAAACGTGTGCCCATCAACTTTCTACTGGGCCAATAAGTGTGCGCCTACAAGCTTTCGATGACATATAACAAAACGAGTGCGTCAGACCTGTATCAAATATTTCTTAGGTGCGACACAACTCATGCTAGTCACCGTCCTAAAAACCATACCGTAACAGCGTTTGAATTACGTTGGGCCCGCTTCCGATGCATGACTCGAATAAGATCATACTTTTAGGGATCATTTCTAAAGTTGGTCTTGCCGGGACGTTGAGCAAAATTGAACGGCACGAAAACCATGATGACGAGATTCAGTCACTTCCTCTGAGCGTGAAGTTGACCTCGAGACAGTCACAGCTTGAGTGACAGTCTCAGTAGGTCTTTGATGATCGTTCCTCTCCTCCCTCAGCGGGGAGTTGGAGGAGGATGTGACAATCCGATTGGTTTCTCTCTATCAAATGTAAAGAGTGGTTTATCTAGCAAATGGTGCTGCCCACCACAAAGCTTTTTCATGCAGCAACTTTTCAATTTTCACCCCCCCCCCCCCCCCCCACCACTCCACCCTTGTGTGGATTTGTCAAGTTTGCTCTTAAAATACTTTTTAACACTCGAATTAATCACTTAATTAAGTGGAATTATCATTTTTCTCTGTATATTTTGCTATTTTTTGCCTTGGTGTCACCCCCTAAATGGTGTCACCCGTTGCGGTCTTCCCCCCCCCCCGCCGCCCTCACTCCCTCCGCTACGCCACTGGGAAGGTACAGTAGGAAAGCTACAGTAGGCAAGTCAATAACGTAGTTTGCATGTCGACATGTTATAACTGTTATTGTGATGTTTTTGATGAGACCCATCGTCTACGAGCTCTAGAAACTCTATACATATTTCGATCTTGGAACTTGCTTGTGTTTTAATTCCGCGTAGTTACCAAACATTCTACCTTAAGTCTGCATCGCCACTGTGGGGAGTCTGCAATATGATTTAATTTTACAAAATTAACCAGAATATAATCAAGTATAGTAATTCCCTATTTCCGCTGTAGGGAAATTAACCTGTAAAATGTGAATAACTTTAGTTAACTACGGAGTTATCACAAGCGAATCAAACAGTGGGGTTTAGTCCTCAATCAGATAACTCATCTTTGCAAAAAACAATTAGAGAGGTTGGGAGAGAATAAAATGTGTGTTATCCTAACTAGGATGTCGCCTAAGATCAGAGGCGTAGCTAGGGGGGGGGGGAGGGGGGGGGGGCGGCCGCCCCGGGCGCCGGGTCTAGGGGGGCGCCAAAGCGACGATTAAATTAATTATTTAATAACACTATTTTATTTTTAAATTAATTTCATCTGCTAAAAGACTTGTGAGCAATTAACTGACGACAGGCTACATTTTCCCCCCTATCTTTTTGTATAAACATTGATGACGAGTGCCGTTTTTTTTTTTTTATTTCGACGGTCATATTTTGTTTATACCGCTCCGTCCAAGTACTGTTTACAAATTAAATAGTAGCTAACACGTCGTCTGTGTCGTTATATAACGTGCTCACTTCATTTCATTTTGTTAAAAGAAGAGAAAGGGTTATTGAATTACATACCAGGTAAGTTTTATAGTTTATTCTTTTATTTTATTGTTACATAATTAGGAGCATGGCTATAGAGTTGTATTATAATTAATTTAAAATAGTGTAAATTAATTTCCTTTACAAACAAAAATAGTCTGGATATTTTTAAGGTTTAAATTTGTTCGAGTAGTGAAATTATTTAAAAGTTTTAAAACGTATTTTAATTAGGTTACGTTAGCATTATGTACTCAAAATGACCTATATAATAATACTGATGTTATGTGACTTCTCGCTAGATTCTACTAAATAAAATGCGTTTTAAAAAGGTACCTCTATGGTACTCTCTAGCGTAACAGCATTTCTCTACCCTTAACCATGGAATTATCCATACATCACGTCAGACTCCTAACAGATAGGGTGGGGATCGAACTTTTGGGACCTTGTCTGAGAATTGGAGGAACGGGGAAAATTATCAAAATAGTGTGACGTGTTTTATAATTATAGATAAGCCAAAAGCCGGTGGTCAAATTCTAACCTTGTTTCTAACCGCAGTGTTTACTCCAGCAACACTAGCGATAGGTGAGAAAAAAATAGTATGTGTGACTGCACTGTCCTTTTGGCTACGTTGGCTGACACATAATTGGTTAAACATTAGGATATTATTAACTCAAACATGCATCTACTTTATGAATCAGCATAGGAAACTAGAAACAGCTAATGTACAAGTAAAAAAATCTCTTAAATACTTTAATATTCTTTTTAGAAATGCCTCCAAAAAAATTAAGCGGATCTGAACGTCGTAAACGAAATCGCGAGGCTGATGGAGCAAATGTAAAGTCTAGTGTATTGTTGGAAAAATTTTAAAAAAGAGACAATTCCGACAAAAATGAACAATGTTCCCAAGGCGAATCAAATTCCAGATCTGAATCAGAAGAGAAAGGAGAAACGAAACTGCATGTATCTGATGAGATCAATTCAGCCGAGTCGGATAAAATGGACGACACTGATATCAACGAGGCATCTGGCAGTACTAATTTAAACAATGATGAAGTCCTGAATAATCCCACAAGTTCAATCCCTGCTGTGTTACGGTTTTGTGATGTTGGATACTTGGATTTTGACAAACAGTCAAAACTTTCTGTTATAAGTCAGAGGCTACGTACAGAAATGATAGCTCAAGGATCATTGGCGTTTCAAAATCGAAATGCCCAATTTGCAACATCAAGCGGGCGTTGCATGACACAAGTGTGGTTCCAGCGTAAGTTAGCTAATGGGGAAGAGGTAAGCAGGTCATGGCTGCTTTATTCACCCCTCAAGGAAGCTGCATACTGCTTTTGTTGTTTGCTGTTCACATCATCAACACCAAACTCTCAATCATCGTTTGAGTCTGTTACAGGATTTAAAAATTGGAGACACACAGAAAGGGTTAGGGATCACGAAAATAGCCCCAGTCACCGTGCAGCTTTTACCACCTGGAAAGAAGCAGAACGAAGAATAGTATTAAGAAAAGGAATAGATGTTGAAGTAGAGGCACAAATTCAGGTCGAAAAACAACGCTGGCGTGACGTTTTAAAAAGACTACTTTCTTGTATTAAGTTCCTGGCATCTCAAAATTTAGCTCTGCGAGGTCACCAAGAAAACTTATCCCCTGAACCTGGAACCAATGTGGGAAACTTCCTTTCTCTTCTCACACTTGTGGCCCAATATGACCAGCTTTTAGCTAACCATTTGCAACATGCCCAACAAAATCCAGGTGCTATTTCTTATCTGTCCCCTGAAATTCAGAACGAATTTTTATCCATATTGGCTTCTACTGTGAGAAATCAGCTGCTAAAGGATATAAGAAAAAACAAATATTTCGGAATTTTGCTTGACACTACTCCTGATCTAGCACACCGTGAACAGCTATCTGAGGTTATTAGATACGTGGATGTTGATTTTGTAACTAAGAAAGTAACCATCAAAGAATCATTTCTTGGATTTGTACAGGTCATTGCCAAAGATGCTGCTAGTATTGAAAAAGCCATCGTAGATAAACTAGAATCTGATGATTTACCTCTGGCTGACTGCAGATCCCAATGCTACGATAATGCATCTGTAATGGCTGGTCATATTTCTGGCCTTCAACAACGGATGCTCAAAAGAAATTGTCACGCATTATTTGTCAATTGTGATAATCATAGTTTAAACTTGGCTGGAGTTTATTCAGCAAAGCAAGACTTCCAAGTTGTTACATTCTTCGATACTATAAGAACAATTTATAATTTTTTTTCCTGTTCAACTATTCGATGGAACAGATTAACTACAGCTCTACCTATAACGGTAAAACGCGAATCCGACACACGCTGGTGCGCAAGAGCTGAGTCGGTCAAAGCAGTTTACAAAGGGCTGGACGAACTAATATCACTTCTCGAAGAACTGTCGGAAGATTCCAGCCAAACAAGCGAGACAAGAAGTGAGGCAAACACGTTGCTGGCAAATGTTTTAAGTTTTAACTTTTTTGTCCTTCTTTTTTTCTGGAACAAAGTTTTGGGGAAAATCGATCGGGTTCAAAAACGTCTGCAGGATCCGACTATGAACTTTAGTGAAGCAGCGGCTGATCTTGTAGCTTTGGAAACTGAGCTAAACAGAGGACGTGAAGAGTTGTGTCAGAAGGCTTTAGAAAGTGCAAAAACCAAATGCGAGCACTGGGGAGTGGAAATCAGCAGGAGGATAAGGAGGCGAAAACTGATGCCCGGTGAGGTAGGGCAAGATGTTAGTCTGACGGCAGAAGAAGAGATCGTGCGAGTAATGAAAAGCGCCATTGATCGTTTTAGGGAAGAAGTTGCAGTACGGTTTACTCGCCTAAAAGATCTAAATGAAAAATTTGGTTTTCTACTTGATGTAAATTGCCTTTTAAAATCTGATTTAACTAACAAAGATTCCATCAGCCAAAAATGCAAAGTCCTCGGTGAATTTTATAAAACTGATTTTAATGGAAGTGAGTTGTGGGCAGAAATATGTGACTGCAGAATGCTGCTTGGTTCTCGTTCGGATGCCTTGCCAAAGAATCCATTTGAACTACTTTCCTTTATAATTTCTTATGGCAACGATGTTTTTCCTAATTTACGTATTGCACTTCAAATCCTTCTTACGATTTCTGTGTCTATTGCAAGCTGTGAACGCTCCTTTAGCAAGTTAAAACTCATTCTGTCTTATTTGAGATCATCCATGGGACAAGATCGACTTAGTGATCTGGCGATATTAAGTGTAGAAAAAGAGACACTGAACAGTATTGATTTTGATGATATCATTGATAAGTTTGCATCACTAAAGAGCAGAAAAATAAATCTGCTTTAAATTGATTATTAACAGTAAAATATATCCATCTGTGGTTTAACTTTAATGCATTTTTAAACACATTGAAATCGGTAGCATATGTTAAGGTGAAAAATAATGCTAAAAATGCAACTATTTATATAATTTATATTAATACCAGATTAGATGTTATTCTTTCATTTTTGTGTGTGTGTGTTTGTTATTTAATTCATGCAATGTTTATAACTGTCTTCTGTCCAACAAAAAAAATATTGTTTGACAAATAAAAGAATTTCCTCACGTTCTACGTTCACTTATTTATACTTAAATTTCACGTTACACGTCGTTACTCCTCTGTGTCACACACACACACGTATATATTTAATATAAGTATATACATGAATATATATGTATATGTATGCACATGCATGATATATATATATATATATATATATATATATATATATATATATATATATATATATATATGGGGGCGCCAAATTGAAAGTTCGCCCCGGGCGCCGGGAGGGGTTGCTACGCCTCTGCCTAAGATTTTAAACTTCATTATTGTTCAAGATGACTTAAACAGTTAAAACTACATTTATTTACCTTTATATTTATTCCAATTTAAATTATCAAATTTAATCCGCAGCCTAGAAGACCGCCCATTTTTCCCACCGCGTATTGGAATGGGATGAAATTTAGCAGACATCATTTTCTGCTGAATTAAGGATAAACAATGTATGTTAACTTCCAATTTCCGCTGTAGGGGAATTAACTTGTAAAATTTGAATTACTTTAGTTACCTACAGAGTTATCTCGTGCAAATGAAACTGGGTTTTAAATCCACAATCAGCTAACTCATCTTTCGACTTCCGTAAAATAGATTTTACAAGTATCGTCCCTTTAGTTAAATACCTAATTAGAGAGTTCAGACTACCACAAAAGGGTGCTTTATTCTAATAACATTGTAGCGTGTCATTCATTTAACGTTGTAAACTTTATTCTATTAACTGTGTAAACTTTATTCTATTAACGTTGTAAACTTTATTCTATTAATGTTGTAAACTTTATTCTATTAACTTTGTAAACTTTATTCTATTAACTTTGTAAACTTTATTCCATTAACGTTGTAAACTTTATTCTATTAAACTTGCAACACGTTATTCTATTAACTTTGCATCGTGTAGCTATGCACCTTTTTATTCTAATAAATTTGCACCTTTTTATTCTAATAAAGTTGCCCCTTGTTTTTCTAATAAAGTTGCCCTTAGTTATTCTAATAAAGTTGAGACATGCTTGGTCTTTCAAAAGTTCGCTCTCACATCGGATCGTGATCGTATGGCCATTAGAGTCAAAGCAGTGCCGGCACCAGGTGAATTAGCGTCCTAGACAAAAAAAATTAAAACAGAGGCGCAGCGAGGGCGGGGCCGTTTGGTGCGGACCGCACCTGGTGACAACATTTAAGGGGGGGGGGGGGGTGACACCAAGGCAAAAAAGCTTATACACATACATGTACACATAAGCGTCATATATTTAGATTGTTCCATGACAAATGATCTTAGGCAAAATATCTCACGGACAAATGATCTCAGGACAAATGATCTCAGTACAAATGATCTCAAACAAAATATCTCACAGCAAAATTTTAAAAGTATTTACGATGAATTTTTAGCCCTCTCTACGCCTCTGTTCCCATTTATTATTAAATTTAGTAATTTTTAAATTAAATTATAGCGACTAATTGTCTATCTTATTGGATGAAAATTCTATATTCTTTTATTGTCATCCAAGATTTAACACTACGACAGGAAGTGGGTTAAATTTAGATTCCTTGATTTGCGGATCCACAAAAACATACACACACGCAGACATACTCAGCAAGCTAAATAATAGCATTTTTTTAAACCCGCGAAACAAACACCGTTTTCCTCCCTCATTCCGCCTTTTGCGAAGCCGTTTCACGCAAAACATGTTGAAGAAGAGAGTGAAGTTGGCAGTTGACAGAGTACATGAGTAATAAACCAACGAATGACAAATTTTGTGGGTAGATGTGCTATTGGAAGTGGGAGTATTTTAAACTCTGCGTATTATATCTAACTTAAAATAGTACCATCAGTTAGAATGTAGAATACTTTATAAGACACCATTTATAAAACTGTAGTTATAACACAAGCCAAGAACTTGTCTTTAGTCATCAATTTTTAAAGCCATTTTGCTCAAACAAGATGAGTGGGAGGGGTGTCACGTGACCGAACTACTCCTCCAGTACAAAACAGGGGATCCACCGGTAGAAAACAAATGAAAACAAAAGCCTGACGGAGACCCACGTGTCTAGCGGCAGGTAACAATCATGATGTGGAGAAGTGCTCGATTAGTAGTTAGCCCCGAACGCTGAAATGGGTTACTAACAGGGGCGGAACTACAGTGCCGTCAGACCCCGCAATGATGCGAGGGGGGGGGGGGGGTTAATGCCGTTTAGGGACCCACAGCCGACCATAATCAATTTTTTTGTGTTAAAAAATTTATTTTTCTTTCATTTTTGACTTGATGGTTGTTTTGTTAAAAGAATACTGTAGCTGCGGTTGGATAATTTTTATCTATAGACACCATCCCACGCTCTTGTATAATTTATCTTGTTCACTTTGTTTTTTAAACCATTGTGAAAGATAGGCAAACCTTTAAACTACTTCCATGACTTATTTCCATTTTTTAAATAGTCAAATACGGGTGCTCATAAACTCCTTTTAATAGATTTGTACTAAACAAATTAAAAAGCAATTACTTCTCTTAATTGCTTTTTAAAAATACATACTAAAGAATGACATAGTATAAAAAAGAAATGCATTTAAAATTAATACTATAAATGCAAAAAGATATAAAAATAAACATAACACGAGAAACCTTTACTTATATTTCATAATTTTTTCACCGACTTGAAATGTAGAAATATTACGTCCGACATACAATAAAGCAGATTTTCAAAACAGACTAATGCACCCACACACATATGATGTAATTTGTTTTAATTGAAAAAAAAAACAATGACATTTTTTTCAAACCCGATCAAGCCAGACATGAGTATCCTCGGTTTATATATATATATATATATATATATATATATATATATATATATATATATATATATATATATATATATATATATATATATATATATATATATATATATATATATATATATATATGGGAGGGGGGGCCCAACAAAAAGTTTTTGTGGGGTGGTTCTTTTTTTCTAGTTCCGCATTGGTTACTAAGCCTCTGCTCTAAGGAGTACAAGCGTGTGCAGGTTATATAGGTTGACGAGAAAGAGAGAATGGGATGTTGTATGTAGATATTGTTAAATGGATATTTGGATATAGAAACGTAGGTATATAGATGTATACGAAAATTGAGATATAGGGCTAGGGCTATATAAGCGTTGGGAAATTTTCTATAGAATTGGCATATTATTATTAGTCTTTGAACGAGGGAAGACAAAAGCACGTTCAAACGCTGGCAAAATTACTGTGCAGGAGGAAAGTGAGGTTCGGGGAGGGAGGGAGAGGAGGGAGGGCACAATGCCTGAAACAGTTTTAAAAAAAGACCGGAGTTGTAAAGAAAGACAAGCTTTCAATCACTGGCCCTACAGACATAAATCCTTTTAAAAAAACTCTTAATAAATAAGTTCACCGCACTTTCATTGCAAACGAAAATTATTTAATTATAGGCTGAATTAGCATTACTGTATCTCGCAAAATTTTTATGTAAATAAAGTGACCTCCCCTAAACTTTCTCGTATATTCTTATATAACAGTAATGGGTACAGCACTTCCAGTCCGATCCGGCTTTAGAAATTATCTTTACCTACGTTTAAAAATAGAATAGAAGCGAGTAGAAAAAAATTGCGCAGCATTTATGCGCAATCTGCGTGCGTACAACAGAGGGGAAATATTATAATGGAAACATTACTTACCTTGTTTAAGTAATTAGAAATAGCGTAAAGTACCACTTCCGGAAAATGGAAATCAAGTGCAATTTGATAGAATCAAGAGAAGAAGTAACTAGAACTATCTATAAAACGGGACGCAAAATATTGGTCAATAAAAAAATGTTCAGATAAACTAAAATCATCCCACACACTATTAAAAATTTGCTGTGAGATATTTTGTCTGAGATATTTTGTCTGAGATAATTTGTCCATGGTATCATTTGTCCGGATAAATTTTGTCCTGGTACCCTTTATCCGTGAGATCATTTGTCCGTGAGATATTTTGTCTAAGATCATTTGTCCTGAGATCATTTGTCCTTTCATCCAAAATATCAAATAGGCACACAGATATACAGAAGCATAGATACACTGATACACAGACATAATGTAAAAAAATAGTTTTTCCAACTCAGGGAGATGTAAAACGCAAAGGTTGGTGAAAATCTCTAGTTCAATTTTTTTGTACGAGTAAGTAAAAAAAAATATCGTATACATTGATCTATAGACTTTTCAATCGATTTGTGCACAAAATTAGTCGTGCGGTTAATTGGTCACCTAGTTCTTGGCTTATTGCTCTGGTCATCTAGTTCTTGGTTTATTGTTCTGGTTACCTAGTTCTTGTATGCAGGCTTTGAATCCACATTAGGTCATTGCAACCTTGCTAACTTTTTGTTAAAAAAATACAAAAATAATTTCTCGAAGAACTGTTAATTTGCTGTAAGAAACAATTATAAAAGAACGGCTTTCACGTTTCAAAGAAAATAAAAAAAACTATGCTTGAAAACAGTATATCACCATTTCTCTTTGTCGGGTTTTAAATTAAGAAGTTAATTGTATCCAGATGTTGCTTACACCGTGTGGCTTAGAGCTGGACATTGATTTGTGATCAATTAAAACTGGTGTGAGAACTGCCAGTTCGTATTCTTAATGGGTGTGGCTAAAGTACAAACTCAGATCATAAAATCAAGTGTGGTTAAGTGCGGAGTCAACAAGTAAGGCGATTTTGGGGGTGGGGGGGGGGGGGGGGGGAAGGGGTTAAAACATGTAGAATACA